ATCATTAATTAAATAACTAATTGACGATATTTAAATATTTCAATATCTATATCATGCACATTGTAAATCATGTATTTATGTAGATATCAACTACTTTTGTTAATGCTGTAACTAAAAACTATTTAATAAGACAAAAAATAAAAATAAATAATACACATTCTTACTTTTACTAGTTAAGTTTTTGTTGTTCAAAAATTCTTCTAAAACTGGTTGTTATAAAGAACTACCTACCAGTGTTATGCTTCAATGATCCATCATTGCATCTTTTTTTAGTGTTTTTGTTCGCTGTATTATCAATATGATAAATTTTCTTTAATATAGTTGAATGTTTTGTCTGAATAAAATTAAATAATATAACCTTTTAAGTTTTGATTAATAATTTAAATTTTTTGATCAGTGTCGCAACTTTGATTTATTTTTGAGGGGGGGTTATTATTTTTTTTTTTTTCATTTACACCGAGATGACTCGTGTGGTGACCAGGAAAATACATAATATAGAATAATGAGATCTATGATACATCTTAAGCTCTTGAAATTTGACTTTTGAAAAGCTGTGCGCCACTGTTTTTTATGTACTTTTGTATTATATTATGTATTTGTGTGGTATTTAAAATTAAATTAACACACAAGACATTAGATAGGTCACCTGTCATAGGCAGGTATGAAATTAACCTTGTACTTCCGCTTAAATGTTTTCTTATATTAAAGTTTGAACGTGAATCCACCTTGTAACACTTCGTACGTCTTCGTGGGCGTCTTCAGGTCAATTCCATGGGAGGGGGCGAAAACATTTTAGTCTTGAATACTGCATTGCTAAACAAAAACTTAACATCTATATGTTTAAATAATCTCTATGTATGTTGTTTGTGTCATTGGTCTGTATAATCAGTATGCGAAAAATTAACTAATTTTATAAAATATTTTTATCTATATGCAAAAATAGAACATCTCACGTCTATGGTGACACGCCCTTGGCACCGACACAACTTAAGCACTTCACTTACAGATTCTTATAAAAAAAATTATCCTCAATGACTCTTATAACTTAAAAATATTTTTGATAATTTGGTTAAGGTAAAGTTGGTATAGTTGGTTCTTCTGAATCTGCAACCTGATCAACTTGATCTATTTCGGTTGGAGAATCATAATTGTAATATTCTTGGTGGCTTGGTACCTACTATCGTAGTACTGACAGTAGATAAGTGGCAACCAAGTTATTATAATTGCAGGTCGCAGACACTTTATTAGATGATGTAGTCGTGGATGATGAATAAATAAAAGACAGATGTTAATTATTGTGAATTTTATTTTAGCGTTGATAATTTTTCTAAGTCCAAATAATGTTTGTACAGAGTGGCGTGAAGGTGCTTGCACTAATGGATGGTAGTACACGTCTGAATACAGGCCGTTTCGGGCTCCCTTATATATGAGGTTCCCCGTACCCCTTGCCTACATATACGATATCTCGGTTCTCACGGATGTGATTTGTGTGCTCATCATCCCAGCCCACGCATTTACGATTGACTGCGTTTCCAATCTATGATTATTATTAAAATAATCATTTTACTCTTTTTTTATTTGAATTTGTCGCGTACAGTGTTTCTGTAAAATATTATATATGCTTATTTTTGAACCCCTCGTCCTGAGTATTCAGTGGTTTTGTCTCATTATATTCAACATAAGGAGACCTAACCACTTTCTTGTAATATTTGTTTTAGGCCGTTCTACAGTATATTAAACTAACTATGCACCCGTGAAATTGGTAGTATTTCTGTAAATGTTACAACGCCTATTTCTGATCCCTAATTGTCTTATTACCTGGTTATGCCGACCTATTATATATTATAATGACTATACACTCGTGATTTATGATTTTGGTATTTGTTTCGTAGTAACTGGCTTACTACACAATCACTCATTGTATTACAATTTAAAAAAATTTAAATAATGAAAACAAGAGTATACGGTCGATGCAATAAAAATATTATCAATATGTAGGAAAGTCATGCAGAGAACAGTGAACACGGTACAATTAATACGAAACCAAGTAATAAATATTACAATAGTGTATACCTGCTTCGGGCTCCACTTGCAATATTGTAAAAGTGTATAACTGATTGTGCGCTAATGACCAATTGGAGATTTGTTATTCGTAGTTCGTGTATACAGTATACACAAAAATAATATTATTTTCTAATAAAATTATGAAAATAAGATAATACCATGTTCCACATATTATTATGGTGCTATATTAATAGCCAATAGGCATTAGCTATATTCGGATATTCCGTACAGTCGACGATAAACGATAAATAAAATAAATTGACAACCATTTTCTCAGTAATAATAATAATAATAATTGTTTATTCAGTGAATAAAAGGGGGAAAATTGCCCAATAGTACAAGAAAATAAATAAGTTTCTACAATAAGTTGATACAGACATGGTACAATAACATAAATTAATAATAATAATAAGCTAAGAATATAAACTAAAATGAAAACGATTGCATAAAATAAAATATTACCTATTATTAGTAACACGTTGATGGACACGCAATGCTATAGCATTCTATGTGTTTTGGTCTTGCCGGTGCATGACTGCTATAGCATTTGTTATTGTAAATGTTGATTTAGGGTCAAAAATTAAACTTTTTGTGATGTACAACTATACAACCTCTTTTGTGGTATACCATAATATCTTTATCACACGTGCGCTTATCGGGCAAACTCGCCAAATTCATAATACGGACGATTAGTGCTTACGTCATACTTGTTATCATTCTTATCAATGGATCCGTTGGATCCAAACAAATATTATAACGTATTAACGTACTATGTTAAAATAAGTTAATAAGTTAAAATATCGCTTAAAATTAATATTTTAATTATATTTACGCGGTTTTAAGCTGAATTGTATAATTTTAGAAATTTAAAAGGTCTGTGTGCGCTATGAACTGAGTTTAATACTGCTTGCGAGCCTATTTTTGCTATGCTTGTCAACTATAGATTGCTTACCTTTTAATTTTGCATTCTAAAATCTATATATTATATAAAAATGAATGTATGTCAGTGTGTGTGTCTGTGTGTCCATATTACCATGGCAACCAATTATATATTATTTTGAAATATCCGATGGAATGTTTTGTATATAAATGGTTGCCATGGTGATGTGTAAAACATATTATTCATATATGGAGTTGGCAATTTTAATGGGCAATGAAGAGCACGGGATCAGATATTTATATATATATAGATAAATTCGACCTCTGTGCAGAAGATATAGGCTAATTTAAAAAAGGAAATGACCAACCCCGGGAGGTGCTCAAACAGGGATTTCGAGATTTCCTATGGACATTTTTGTTTATAAATGGTTGCAATGGTTTTGAAGCTATTATAATAATAATTATTATTGGTTGCCGGCAACGAAGTGCACGGGATCATTATTAGTTGCCGGGCAACGAAATGCACGGGATCATTTGGTACAGAGATAGGTTAGACATCTGGGCAGAAGATAGGCTAATTTAAAAAGGGAGAGGACCAACCCTGGGATGAGGTGCTCAAACAGGGATTTTGAGATTTCCGATGGAAATTTTTGTTTATAAATGGTTGATGTGGGTTTTAAAGATATAATAATAATAATTATTGGTTGCCATTGCCCATTGGTTTAAAATTGTTGTTATGGTAACCGTTATTTTATAAAAAAAACATATTATTCATATAGAGTTGGGCAACGAAGTGCACGGGATCAGCTAGTTGTATATAAAATTATACAGTTAATAGTATTTTTGTATTATATACAGATATTATTTAAATATGGTTTTATGCTGGGTATTTGGTTGTTCTCATTACACGGAAAATAGTTCCTGTAGCTTTTATCGCTTTCCAAAAGAACTAAAATCAAGGAGATATTGGATCAAATTAATAAGGCAGCTTTCTGACATAGGTCCCTACATGGTACATCATCAATAAATTAATTTTGTTTGGTAATAGATGTATTGATAATAATGATACTGAAACAAATTTAATTTTTTATTTAGTTGACAATTTTCAGTGAATACTGGAAAATTATAACTAAAATGTTATATAAAAATTCTTGAATTAATTTTGTTTATGAAAGTATGCCCTTCCAATTCACACCATATGCGACATTGCTTAATATAAACATATTTTTATTATATATTTCATAACTAATACTACATACTATAATAACTAACCCTACCTAACGTTTGGATTCTACTTGTAAGCCTTAGCAATGTTAAATATGTTCTATAGACTTTAGGTATTAAATTAAATAAGATAGTTAGGGTTGCTTGAAATGTTGTGTGATTTATTTTTATTTTACTACATAACTTTTTGGTTCAAAGATGAATAAATCATATTTATTATATTAGAAGAACAGATGAACCTAAATCAGGTGCTCGTGTGTGTAGCTGTCACTTTCAAGATGGAAATAAAATAAATGGTCCTACAATACTTCCTCATCGTTTAAATCAATTTGGCACTCATCATCTTACACCTGAAAAGAAAAAGACCCGCAAGAACTTTTCAAAACTTATGATGAATGAACTGAAAGAAGATGAAATATTTAAGAACAGCGAATTTGAAATCAATACAGCACTTGATCTTGATGAATCAACAAAGTCTAACCCTCAAGGGTATTATTTATTTTTTGAATATTATGATTTAATATTATAATAAATTTAATTTTTTTTTTTTAGAGTATCTGAAGTCATTATGCCATCGACCTCATTGACCATACTCGAAACTGAATATTATTTTCTAAAAAAGCAAAATGAAGAATTGAAATTGAAACTAAATACATTAAGCTTGTCATTCATATTTGAAAATTTAGTTCAAAATGAAGATTTATTAACTTCTTATACTGGCATACCATCAAATGAAGTATTTATTGCTCTTTACAATTTAGTAAAAAAATGCAGAGATTAAATATCATTTAAATTGGAATGTTGAAAGTATCAATAAAATTGATCAAATACTAATGACGTTAGTTAAATTGAGAAACAATTTACCACATTTTGATTTAGCAGTAAAATTCAACTGCAGTAAAGCAACTGTAAGTAATGTTGTCATTACATGGATTAATGTTTTACATGCCATACTTTTTACTAAATGCATGAGTAATATTCCAACTAGAGAAAAAAACAAAAAATGTTTACCTGGTGCATTCAAGTCATTTACCAACTGCTGTATAATAATAGATTGCACTGAAGTATTTACTGCTGTATCACGTCAGTCGATGAATATACAGAGAGACACATATAGTTCATATAAGCACAGAAATACCTGGAAAGCACTAATAGGAATTGCCCCGAATGGTGTTGTTACATTTGTCAGTTCATTGTTTCCTGGATCTACATCAGACAAGATGGTAACATTAAATAGTGGTCTTTAATAATCCAGTTGGAGTCACCTCTACATTTTCTTCTTGTTTAAGGGGGCTCCAGCATATCATCTTTTAAGGAGTAATATTTAGGCAATTCACATAACATGAACATTTTGGCTATGTCTATGTGTGAGTAGTAAATTAACATTAGTGTGGGTAATCAATTATCGCGTGCCTCGGACTATCGGTTGACAGTATTATGAATTCCCAGAGCTACGTATAATTAAAATGCTATAAAAATGACAATATATTATGTTCAATTGCGCGCGTTATCTTTTACTATTATATTACCTACTCACTACTCGGCTTTCGCTGCAATTCGCAAAAATGTTCAATTACATTATACTACACAAGAGAATTACTTTGTTATTTCATAGTTATCAACTATTACATTACTTAACTTTTTTATACAAATAAAACCATTTAAAAAAGTAGTATTACAAACCATCCCCGATAGGAAAAGGAAACTCACGTTCATATACTAAATCAATTAATTCTAAAACCATGTAACCAAGGAAAAAAGTAAAAAAAAAATTTTTTTCCAAAATATTTACCACATTATTTTTCCAATTTTAGAAATTTCAAATACTATACATTGAAACATGAAGTTCAATATAAATTATAAATTAATATTTAAGTATATTACTATAATAATATCTTTAAAAATTTAACTATAAACTGTATTATCGTAATTATTGATAACACACTGTATGGAATATGAACACAGAACAAACAGAAGGGAATCTTATTTCATTTAACATAGGCTCTTATGGGAGATGATAAAACCACGTCCGACATTTCTAAAATTTAAACGTGCTGCCACGTACCGGGAATTTCTCTTTTTTCTTTATATTGTGCAGCACTGTTTATTCGTTCAAATTTCTAATATCAAACAATCAAACCGTTTTTTTTTTAAGAAATCGCATTTTTACCATTTATCTAAGTACAGAATCTAAGAAAAACAAAAACTATACATATTTTATTTATCACTATATTTAGTTGATGAATGAACAAAAATGCATAGGTACACAGAAGATTACAAAACAAATTACGTACGCTGGTTTTAAATAATCTAAGCAGTTCTAATTTTATTTTATTTTTTTGGAACTTGTGTAATTGGTACACGCAATTGCTAAGACAAATTGAAGATTTATTCTAAATAAATATACTGGTAGAAGTATGTGACATTGTTACATAACCTGTACCTATAGTCAGTAGGAATACCTCAAATCCACATTTAATACTCTCTAAGAGCTGTAAAATTTAAATTATTACACCGTATAAATTAAATTTATTTTTTTATTTTTTTGTAAAGTATCAAAAACAAATTACATCATCGTAAACAATTATTACAAATAATAAAACAAATATAACAATCAACACGCATAACAAGTTAACATTATAATTTATTTAATAGGAAAACTCAGGCTTTGATAATTACCAAATGAGGAATAAAAGTACGTTAGTACTTGACTAAAAAATTACAAAAATAATAAAGTTAAAATAACAATAATGAGTGGAATTGCAGATTAACAGTGTAGCCACAAACCACAGAAAACTTTAAAAAAGGGAATTTCTCGGTACGTGGCAGCGCGTTTAAAATCTAGAAATGTCGGACGGTTTTTCGATGAGCCTTAAGATTCCCTTCTGTTTGTTCTGTGATATGAATTTAAATTATGATATCCATGACGTATTATCGTATAAGTACCTAGGTAGATAATATGTTTAATGATACAACAATACTTTTGTATTTAATAGGTACAATTTAGAGTAAAAGTCAGTGAGACAATTCATAAGGAATGACAAACACAATTAGCATATTCACGTGTATAAATTATAATAATATTATGAAATATAAATATATTAAAGATTAAAAAAAAGTAATTGTGCATTTATTGCCTAAGGTTTTCTTTGATTAAGACGGGTAAAAGATTTTCTAAATAAAACGTTTTAATTTTACTTTCCATATTATTTTTCCAAAAATCATTGTCTCTTTTTATTTTTTCATACATCAAACCTGTAATGATTAGTTTTTACTAGTTTATTTTATGTAAATAATTTTAAAAACTGTTGTTTACCTTTTGGGGTCCATACACAAAAATAGCAATAAGTCTTTTGACTGATGTGCAGTTGACCTTGAACTTGATAATAATAATTATCGTTGCGTTTTAAGTACAATTGCCCATCCTTAATTGAGCAACATTTAATTTTGTTGTTCTGTATAGCATCTTCTGGTGCAAGTTCTTTAGCACTAGCTGGACACTTAATTTCAACTAACGATTCATCATCTAGTATTCCGTCAGGGGAAGCTGCCATAAATGGCATACTGTTGTCAACAATTAAGCCCACAGGTAGTATTTTTTGCTTTAGAAGATCTTCTAATTGTTCTTTAGCGATTATTACATTAGCAATTCCATACCTAGTGGCGGCATTTCCAGTGAATGTGCCAAATAAAATATTTTCCACAGTTTTAGCACGTGACGTTTTATCACGCATCTTGCAAACTTTTCCGAAAATGGATGCTGTAAGTCTGTAAATATTTTAGACATTACATAATAAATTATAAATCATAACTCATAAGCAACAGCAGATACGACGGCCATATTAGCATTTATATTTATGTTATCAGAAGGATTTTCATTATTAATATTTTCTTTTGTGCCACATACTTTGCAAGTAAAACAAAAAGTACTGCAAAATCCTTTCCTCTTTTCTTTAATAAACTCCAAGTCACGAAATGTGCAATCAAATCCTTGATGTTTTATTGATTGAATGAATAGACTCAAAAATATATTTAATATTTACTAATCTTCTTCCATCCAGACTATCAAATGAGCTATTTATTTCTGATCTATTATTTTCCTGCTCAACTACTTCAGTTAACATTTTATTCACCGGAGTAGAAGTAGAAAACGATTTTGTTTGTAAAGTGAAGTTATCATTGTACGAAGATTCTGCAGCGTTTAAATCTTTAGTATTATTCCTATGCATAAATAAAAAATCACAAATAATTAAATCTGAACCAGCTATTTCGTAACATTTAATATTTTTTGTATCAAAATAAGTAATATGTATCTTTTGCAGTAATTAGAAATAATTAGCTGAAATTCGAATTATATAATGATAATCCATACTTAGGTATATTTATTTCTTTATTGCAGTTTTTTTTAAATTTAATATATGACTAATAGCCTGAGGCTACGTTTAATATTAAATAAAAAATATTTTAGGCGTTTTTTAAAATTTTATGATTTAAAATTATAATTTAAATATAAGATTTTTTAACTACAAAAAATTTTGAAAACTACTATGTACCACCCCTCACCAGATTTTTTTTGTATACGTGCCTGGACGCAAGTGATACAAAACATGTGCCATAGCAGACTCAAATATAATAAATTACGAACAAAAAATTAAATATTTTACAAGTTACATCTTTTTGTCTATTATTATAGCCGTCGATAATAATAATATAGGCATATAGAACATTAGTATATATATAACTACTACCTACGTTCTACAACTGTCATCTGTCATTTTACAATGATGAATGAATAATATCCATAATAAATGTTTTACTTACCGAGTCACAGTAGTAAGTTCAGCTATATTTTTATCTGTCAAAACATTTTCAGATTCTGGCAAATGTGTATTTTCCTGTTGCAATTAAAATATAAGAATACAGTCTGAATAATCTTCAATTTTTAGAAAATTATTCTAAATTTTATATTTATATAATTACCTGATCACCGCAGTTATTATGTATATCACTTTTTTTATTATGTAAATTTTGTAATCGATGTTTTTTTATTTTAGGTGCACTTAACTTACGTCGAGATTTTCTCCCATAACTCCAATCTTTACCCATTTTGTAAAAAATTAAAAAGAACACAAAACTTACAGACAACCTTACGAGTCGGCGTGTTGTGTTGAAATCAAATGATTCATAAATCATAGGTAGTATTATTATACTTTGTATTTCCTTAAAATTTAAATATATGTGGGTTGTATTAAATTTGGAAAAATATAATTATTATTACTGACTATTATTATTGCCGCCCATTAGTAATATTCTATACATATACAATAATCCTTATCGGCTAATTGTTTCCGACTTTCCGAGAATCCATCACGGCCCGTCGGCAGCCGCGAGCCGCCGCGCCGCCAAAATAAACTATTGCACGCGCAGGCACATGTCAATACTTTACGAAAAATAAAATATATTCATGTTTGCAATGCTATAAAAACTACTAAAAGCGGTAGTAAATTAAACATACTTCCTGAAGTCCGATTGTAATTTTGAAAATATGGTTGAATTTATAAACTTCTAGACTATGCTCTTTAGGAATCACTTTTTTGATTTAAAATTATATGTGCCCATAATAAATACAAATGTAATGCAATTATTTCATGAGATTTTTGAAAAAAAAAATCGTTATTTTAAGGTCCTTTAAAATTGAAAATTGAAAATCGACTTCCTAAATAACTTAGATATTTTGTTAAAGAGTTCATACATGTATAAAAAATTAAAATCGGACATTCCGAAGTATGTGTAATTTACTACCGCTTATTGGTCTAAAACGCATGAAAAATACGTCTGCTGCGTTCCCCTTAAGTACATCTATAGCGGAACTTTCATTAGAGATTCCCCATTGTATGGAATGTATACCACTAAGGTTAGTATCATTGCTTAATGATTTAAATAAAGATATTGAAAATTAATCTTTTTTAAAGGCTGCTAGGACTTTTCCAAAGTGGCTAGCAGTAAGTCTATTTTTCCTATACTTAAACCAAAGGTCATTATTAATTTGTCCAACAGTATCTTTAGCTATCTGAATAATTGACACATCTGTCACATAGATCTTAGTTTGTACATTATTTTTAAGGGCAACAAAATCCTTTGATTTTACTAAATATTGACATCTTTTGTCGAGAATAAGACTTTCAATAGAGTCAACTAAAAGATTTTCGGAAGTAATTGATTCGTTTTCGGACTGCAATAACCAAGAAAATCCAACAGGGACTGATAAACTCATTAAAGTCTCTCTAAAGTTATCAAAATCTACATTTGAAACACTTATATCCGGACATGGTATACAATTATATATTTGATTTATTGATTTAATTTCACCTAATGTATTGTTTTTCCTAGCACTCCAGGAGCAAGCTGTATCCGTGGAGCTCAAATTATAGTGGGTATATATTGCTAATGCTGCAATATGATGGCAAATAACCATGAAGCCCAAGCACATTGCTGAGTACAACTTAAACATGTCAGGGATTGATCGAAGCGATCAAATGATAAGTTACTATTCTTCACCAAGAAAAACTATTAGGTGGTATAAAAAAGTTATCTTCCACTTTCTGGATATTTCTGTATGGAATGCATACTATTTGTATAAAAAATCCCTGTCAACTAGCAACTACCGTTTTATTGATTTTCGTGAAGCCATAATTCAAAAACTAATATATTTACCAGAGAACATTATTCATGGATACCAACTAATTAAAAATAAAAATATTCGTAGACATATGAATAATTTACCAAGACCAACATCGCCAATTTTAGGACACATGCAAGAAAAAATTCCACATCCTCCAGGTATAACAATATAAAAATTATTTTAATATAAAATCTTGTAAAATTAATGTTTTAGGTTGGAAAAGAAGTGGATATTTCCTGCGATGTAGACAGTGCACAAAGCAAAAAAAGTTAAGCAAACCTCATGGAGGTGCAAAATGTGTCCTGAGCAACCACCATTATGTCCAGGAATTTGTTTTTCAATGTATCATAAACTTGAGTAATAATCATATGAATAAAACCAATTTAATATTTATGTTTTATTCACAATCCATATACTTGTATAGGTTTCGTTATGTGTTTATTACTAATTTTTAAAAAGTTTGTATTGTTTTATTCTGATTGTTATTTTAAGTTTTATGAAGAAGTATATATTTATGTTGTTCCTTATAATTTTCACTAAGTATGTGATATTGTATTTTTATTAATTTTATTGAAAGAACTTAGGTTTTTTTTTACAAGTTTTATAAAGTTTGTTTTTTTGTTTTATTTTATTTTGTTATCGTAAATTGTATGAAGGCTGAAGAGAAATATAGACTTATGTTGTATTCGATTTTGATTTTTACTAAGTACTTTATGTTCCATTGCATTTATAATTCAATTATTTTTAAAAGCAGTGGAAGTATTTGCACGGTTTCATTAGGAAAAACGATACATGCTATAGCAGTCGTGCACTGTTAGGCAGTTGTGCAATACCATGCTATAGCAGTCATCTTATTTTTTTTTTCTAAAACACTCCATTATTATACACTGATTATAAAAATATAACTTTCATAAAAATCGGACGAAAACTTCAAGAAATACAGAGTGATGCTAAAAGGTCAGAAATGTGGTTCCATGCTATAGCAGTCATGTCCATCAACGTGGTAAAGTAAGTTTTAAGAATTGAGGCTAATGGAGTAAAGAAACAATCAATATTAGATGCAGGTTTATTACACAAGGTCATGGCAGGAATAGGGGAGTTTTTTAAATAATTTGTACTGTGTGATGGCAAATAGAAAATGGGAGTGATTCGATTATTACATGCAGGGATATTGAATGAAATATGTTTTAATAGGTAAGGTGCATCAATATGGTTATTGATTAGTTTATATAAATCAGCTAAATCCCGTCTATAGGCTAGAGAGGGAAGTTTCAGAAGTGATCTTATTGATGTATAATCATGATGGTTAATAGTTGTGTTGGATTTATATGCTGCAAAACTTAAAAATCACTTCTGGACCCCCTCAATAATCTCAATGTTGGAGTTAGTTAGGGGTTCCAAATAGGAGATCCATACTCTAGGATGTATCTAACTAAAGCGCAATAGAGCAACTTTAGTGAATCCACATTTTTAAATTCAGACGAATGGCGCTTAACATACCCTAACAAACGAAGTGATTTTTTTACTGTACGTTCTATATGTTCCTGAAAATTTAGGTTATTGGTTAAGGTTATTCCTAGGTTTTTTATAGATGAAATTGAATTAAGTTCAGTATTGTTTATATAATAAGTATAATTAATATGTTTTCGAGACCTATAGAAGCACATTGAGTAGCATTTATTGATGTTTAAGCTCATTCCCCAAACCTGGCACCAATTGTACAAGGTATTTAATTCCTCTTGAAGATTTATACAGTCACTAATTGAAGAAATCCGAGAATAAATTTGTAGGTCATCGGCAAAACATAGGAGGTGACACTTGCTTAAAACTAATGATATACTGTTGATGAATAAAATGAATAGAATGGGAGACAAATGGCCACCTTGAGGAGTACCTGAAGGAACAGGTGATATATTAGATGAGTATCCAAGGACTGAGGTAAAGTGGGACCTATTTGTCAAGTATGAATTAAGCCAGGACAATAGGGGATCACCAAAACCTAATTGGTTTAAAGCAATAGCGAGTAAATTGTGATCCACACGATCAAAGGCCTTCTCAAAGTCCGTATAAATTACATCAACTTGGCTGTTATTTTTAAAAGCCTCTAGTTTGAAGTGCTGTAGAGTTAAGTTGCATGAAAGGGTTGATCTACCGGGCCTAAAACCGTGTTGGCTATTGTCCAGAATGTTATTGATTGGATCGATTATATGCCTAAGAACTAGTTTCTCTAATAATTTACCAAGTTGTACAAGGCCTGAGATCGGCAGATAATTTTTTATATCTGACTTATTACCTTTTTTAAAAACCGTGGTGATAGAGCTGATTTTCCATAAGGAAGGGAAAAAACCTTCCTTAAGTGATTTGTTGAATAACAAGAAGACAAGAAAGGCAATAGAATCATATAAGCTGGAGAGAAAGTATCCGGAAATACCATCAGATCCGGGAGAATTAGATTTATATAAAGAGCGTAAGCCGTCAGAAACTTCATCAAGTGAGATAGTGCAGTGTGACGGGAGGATATTGTCAATTTTTTTAATAAAGGAGGTTAAGCTAGAGATGTCTGATAGTGGAATAACCGACGGCCTATATACTGAAGAGAAGTATGACGAGAAAAGGTCAGCAATATCCCTACCAATATTTGCAGTTTTGTCGTTAAGAAAGACAGAATTAGGTATATCATGAGTGCTAGTATTATATGAAACCAATTTCCAGAATTGTTTTGGATTTATTTTTATTTCGTTTTCAGAACGGCGAAAAAATTCCGAATAAACGGATTTAGATTTAGACTTGTATTGTGCTCTCAATTTAGAGAAGATTTCATAATTAGATTTGGTTTTATTTCTCATGTAAATGGAATGAGCTTTAATTTTTTGCCAGGCTAGGGTTTTAAGATCTTTATTAAACCAGCAAGGAAATTTGTTATTGTTATTAATTATTTTTTGGGGAACAAAACTATTTAGGGCTGTTAATAGTGCATCTTGGAAGAGGTTAGCAGCAGCTTCAACATCAAGATTATTGAAAGACTCGGCCCAATTGAAATAATTATAGAATGAGTTAGCATTTATATAGTCATCATTTATAATTAGGTATAGTATTAATAAGTTATAATATTTTTGTATAACAGAATCAGTAATCAGTCAATGTGTATGTTATATAATATAATATATTTTATAGCTTACAATTAAAAGTACGTCGTACCCGCATATGTTGTCTCCGTAATGCTGGGGCTATACACGGCGATATTCGTCGAGCTGATTTCGCTGCGGTTTTTGTTCTGTTTGGCTATACACTACGAATTCACGTGACGGATTCGCTCAATATTTTCCAAATATTTATACCATAATTTTGACATAATTTAGTTTCGAAGTTATTAATATAATTCTTCTTAATAAAAATTCTACACCCATCTGGTGGGGTTAGCTCAAGACGTCAAGAATATTCACATAGCATGTGCGAGCACTTACGGTACATGTTCATTATTCAGTCATAGTTATATCTACTTCGATATAGAATTGGTACTTACCAGCTAAAATATACAAATATATATATATATATTCAAAACAGTCACTGTCACCGTTTTTTATCACCACGAAAAACATATCAAGTGAATTAACAACTGAGGAGCTTGTGGCTATTGCTGTAGCACTAGAAGAAGACGAGAACAAGATACAGAAGAAAAGAAAATATTCTGTTCATCCATTAAATAAGGAAAGGAAGAGAAAAGGCCAGTTTCATTTAATATATGATGATTTGCGTGTATATCCTGAAAAGTTTTTTTCTTTTTATCGGATGTCTATGCCGACATTTGATGAATTGTTGAGTATCGTCAGATCTGACTTATTAAAAATGGAAAATTTCAAAAATGACACAATAACACCAGAGGAACGCTTGACAATTACTATAAAGTATGTATATTTTTATAATTAGGTATTGGATCATTAAATATATTGAAAAATCAAAATAACTTTTACATCTTGTAATAATATAAAAAAAACATAATAGGTATACCATAATATAGGTATCTATAAAAATTATTATAATATATCATTTGTGCTTTGATTGGCAATAGGATATTCTTGATTTCTAACCGTGTTTTCGAGTGTTTGCTGCGTGTAAGTGTAAGGCTGAAGAGGTATATTATATGGTTGAAATTGAGGCTGATGTGGTGTATAATGCTGAGGTGGTGGATAAGGCTGGGGTGGTGAATAAAGTGGATGTGGTGAGTAAGGCTGAGAAGTTTGGTTATCGTTTGTTGTATATTTTTGTAGGAGTTGCATGACATCTATTCGGAATTTAATATTATTTTGATCATCCATACTCTTCATCGCTGGTAGGTAACAAAGAAATCAAAAAATGTTTATTTCCATCAAAAACTTCTTCTTTGTTAGTTCTCTTTTCTATGGCGTTCAACACATGTTCCTGAAACACAGATAGTTTTTTCTTCGACTGTTTAGGCATTGTATTGGGGACACTGCAGGTGGACATTGCCTGATCTGAAGCCGTCGGTGAAACGAGGTTATCTATAATATTGATTTCTTCAGCCGAATTATCATTTTCATGTGCCATGTTTCCTGAGGTACTGCAATTAAATACAATTTTCATTATTAGTTAGTGACAAGAAAAGAAAATCCTTTTTATGGTATATTCCGTATACAATTTGTTTTCAGTAAAATCTCAATTTTATAGAAGCAATTTATGCTTATTCACTATAAAAATAAATAGGGAAGCTATAAAGTAAATACTTTGTAATTTATTTAAATCTACCTATTTAAAATTTATATAGTCATCAATTTCAAAATGTTTGTTTTTTTGAATAATTTATTTTTCGCTAAATAGTTATGAAACTTAAAAATCAGTTAATGTCAGTATATAATTTCGTACTTAAAGATAGCATATAGTTACCACTTACCAAATAAAAAATATTTATTCCGAAAGCAGATCCAATAAAATAAAATAAAAATATAATATTTAACTTCTAAAAAGTGTTACCCACTGTAAATACATGAAAAATCAAATTTTGTGAATATCAAATTTTGTAAAAATATGAATTTCAAACGCTCATAAAAATTTGATTTGACTTTCTTGTAGACATTTTTTTTAATAAAGGTAGACAAATGTATGATGAATCTTGTTTAACATTTTAAAATCTTAGATTGAAAAATAAAATTTTTTATGAATTTGTAACTCAAAATAATTTGGACATTTTCGTCATTTTTACGTATTTTGTTAAGATATGAACTTTAAGTGGTTATTAAATAAAATTGTGACGAAGGATTTTTAATAATTTTGAAATATCATTGTAACAATATAGTAGGAGCCTTGTATTAAATTTTCAAGCTTTTTTACCAAACAAATAAAATATTATTGATATTTACAGAAAAAAAAATGGAAACTGAGAATGTTCATAAATAGTTCAAAACAAATCAAAATATTTTTAAAATTTTATCCAGTGGCGTACACACGGGGGGGTTTTGGGTGTTCAAACCCCCCCCCCCCTTTAGTATTTTTTCAGTTTACGTAATAACGTAAAAATGTATAGTAAAAATGATGACAATTTAAAAAAATATTATATTCCAAATTATACTCCATTATATTATAACTTATAAGCAACCCAGTTTGTTGTTATAATATATTGTAGATATTATTGATAACTTGTTACAAATTAATGAAATTATTGGGAAATTTGTTCAAACACAAACATGAGGGTCGACAATCGTGTAATCCGATATAATATGCCTTAATAGCTATCTCAGTATCGCTAATACTATAGTATAGAATCTATTTCTCAGTTTTCAATCAAATTTCTGACGCTTTGGACGTTTAGTAAATTGTCCTTACTGTTTAAATATTTTATAAAACAATACAAATGAAAAGAATAAACGAATATTTTTCTAACTCACTAATTTATGATACAATTAACTCGGAGGAACCAGGTAAATATTTAATACATTATATTATCAACCTAGGACCTAGGTACAAAAAAATGATTAATATGGTAAAAATAAATTTCTCTTTATACCTATCTTTTATTGAATTGTATATAATATATTATTATATACATATTGTATGTACGCGTGTAACTTTGTAATTATACTAAATAATTACCTGTAGGTAATAGGTGTATATTTTTTAAATAATAATCGAGAATTGTAAAAATATTTTTAATTTCACCTTAAGTCATTGCTAATGAGCCGATTACTCATTATGTACAAAATAATTACTATAGGTACATCGTTTTGATTCATCAATGTATTATATATATATATATATAACGTGTGTTCAATTTTAAAGGTAACAGGAAATATTTCGATCGTATGACCTTGAATTTGAATCGGGGTTTTTATACTGCATATAGGACTTATAAATACATATTTTTTTAATAAATTCAAATTTTTATTTTTTTTTATCAGCGCATGCGCAGTAAAATAAAAATTTCTTAAATAGCAATCACTATTTTGGAGACCGGATTTCGATTTCTTTATTTTTTCTGAACAACTTTGATCTTTACAGTTTGTTGATATCTTCAAAATTGCCATGTTTATGACGGTCGGAAGTTTTAAAATAGTTAATTCGTAAATAATTGTGTGGTGGATGATATCTCTCGGGATATCGTTCAGCATAAAGTGCCGCTGCGTTACGCGAATTTTGAAGGCATTCTCCAAAAATTAATACCATATCGGTTTTTTGGAATAGTTTGCCATTGTACAGAAAATAATGTGTCACGCGCGACTTACGAAAAACGTTTGACTATTTACAATCAATTTTAGAATGCTATCAAAATATCTTATTCACACAGGTTAATAGTATAACTTTCATTATAATACTATTAAAAACAAATTAAGATAATAATAATAATAGTAGTAGATAATTTAGAAGTTTTAATAAAAATAAATTGTTATAATAATACCTATAAATACCTATAAATTAAGATAGACCGTTGAAAAATGCAATATTTACAAATTAACTATTTTAAAACTTCCGACCGTCATAAACATGGCAATTTTGAAGATATCAACAAACTGTAAAGATCAAAGTTGTTCAGAAAAAATAAAGAAATCGAAATCCGGTCTCCAAAATAGTGGTTGCTATTTAAGAAATTTTTATTTTACTGCGCATGCACTGATAAAAAAAAATTAAAAATTTGAATTCATTAAAAAAATATGTATTTATAAGTCCTATATGCAGTATAAAAACCCCGATTCAAATTCAATGTCACACGATCGAAATATTTCCTGTTACCTTTAAAATTGAACACACGGTATATACTAGCTGATCCCGTGCACTTCGTCGCCCGTTAAATGTATCAACTCAATATGTCTCAAACTTTGTTCAATTCGTTATTCAATATTCGTAAAAACAACTGTTCCGATCTTGATGAAATTGTTACACTGTGTGTATTTTGATCCAACTTAAAACATAGGCTAATTTAAAAAGGGAGAGGACCAATCCCGGGAATCAAACGGGAATTTTGAGATTTCAGATGGAAATTGTTGTTTGTAAATGGTTGCCATGGTTATATAAATAATAATAATGATAAAAAGAAATTTTTTTCTTTTTAAATATAAAAGATGTTGTATCTATTATTTTTTTTTTTATGTATATAACCAATACCTTAGCAACCATTTATAAACAATTATTTCTACCGAAAATTATCAAAATCCCTGTTTGAGCACTTCTTTTATTTTTTTCTGGACAACCCTTATCACTTAGGGGTATGAAAAATAGATGTTAGCCGATTCTCATACCTACTGAATATGCACAAAAAATTTCATCAAAATCTGTCAAGCCATTTCGGAGGAGTATGGCAACGAAAACGGTGACACGAGAATTTTATATATTAGATACATATATATATATATATATATAATTTTTTTATATCTAAGCCCCCCCCATTGAAAATAGCTGTGTACGCCACTGTTTCAGTATCAAAAGTTCCAGGTGGTGTGTACATGTTAACCGAATGCATACTTTTTCTCAAAAAATTGTGCAAATGCGCTACAGCCATAATTATTATTTCAGCTTTCTCGGGCTCCAATAAGATTGGCTTTCGCAGTACTCGAAATACCGAAGACGAAATTCCGAATACATTTTCGACAACACGTCGTGCTCTACATAGTCGATAATTGAAATTTCTTTTTGTGCTACCTTTCGGGTGCATGCCCGAATAAACCTTCATTAAATTGTTGTTTAATGAAAATGCTTCGTCGCCAATCATATAATATGGTATGGATTTAGTTCTGCCAGGTAGAGGTGTTGGAGATGGTAGAGAAAGCGATTGGTTTTCCATATTTTTGAAGAGCTCCGAGTTTTTAAAAACACCTCCATCAGAAATCCTTCCTTGGCAGCCACAGTCCACAAAAATAAAATTGTCCACTAGTGCAAATAACACAATGCTGAAAGTAGATTTATAGTTAAAAAACTCACTACCACTATTGAAAGGAGCTTGTAACACCACGTGTTTCCCATCCATGGCTCCTAGACAGTGTGGAAAGTTCCAACGGGATTCAAATTCTTCAGAAATTTTAATCCATCCTTCTTGTGTAGTCGGTATCTATAATAAAATAATAATGTATTTGTATGAAATTATTAAGTTATACTATAAAAATATGCCTAGGTATTTTATGGCATATAGGCACTTTTAATGTATTTATCTACGACTTATTTAACTGTAAAAGCTTAAACCTTGAATAATTTTTTCATTATTTTATTAGAATCTGGGTATGGGAAGGAATGTATTAGTCTTAAACAATAATGTTAATTTTATCATTTTAGATTCTGAGAGAAACGATGAATGTATTGATTTTACAACGATGTATGTGTTTTTATCATTACTAAAGATAGGATTTTTATGACTACATTTTTTTTTAATTGATTCTATAAAATGCTACCTTAACTAACAATTGGTTTCATGCCCTCTTGATTCAAAATATACTAATTTTAGGCATTTGAATTTTAAATGTAATGTTTTGTTTTTTAAAGTCATTTTTTTCATAATTGTAGTTTATAATTTCATATTATAGATCATTTTTTTGTAGTTTTGAACAAGGTAGTGCATTTTTCTTGAATTTTAGATTTTAAAGAAAATTTGTTCTAAAAAACAGTTGTATTATTATTATTGGACAAACAACGATAACAGACATATTTTTAATTTATATATTTTTTTTTAAATTTTTTTTTTATGATTTCATGTATATTCGCATTTTTGCTATACACCATAAAATTTTCAAAATATTTTGAAGTAGAACTAGGTACTTAAAGGCACTTGAAATAATCGATTATTATCAGTTTTTATAAAACTAATAGATATCGATAAAAAAATGTAGCTTAGTCAAAAATCTTAAAATGAAATGAAAATAAAATGCAATACAAAGTTCCTAATAAGTTTTTGTTACTAGAAATAAAAAAAAGTCGAGGCGTAAATTCACAATATTTTTTTATGAGCGTCCGAAAATCAAATTTTTACATAATACTTAAAAGTCACGAAAATTGTCAAATTAAAGTAGTTTAATAGTTTATGCTCTAAACGAAAAATCTAAAAGATATATAAAAAAGGTTTTTTTTCTTTAGACATTTTAAGTTAAATTTTTTTGTAATTTAAAAATATGTTCCTTGAAATTTTTTAAGTATATTATATTATTTTATGCACTAAATTAAATTTTCAAATGAAATCATTTCGGCAAAAATTAATTCAACCTCATAATATTTATTTACTTTTATTTAGTAATTTTGACTGATAGACCATCTTCACTCAGAATCGTTTTTCGTGTTCAATGATTTTATATAATTGAATTCAAATTTAACACATCCGTTACAGTGACTCCTCTAGGCACTTAATGTATAATAGACCTTTTTTTAAATACAATGTTTGCCGTTACTTATTAATATTAACAAATATTTTTAGATACCCAGAAGTGAAACACCGGTTGTTGGACAAGATGAGTCTTCTGCATCCATATCTCGTTCTGTCGATCAAGAAACTAATCATGAACAAATACAAGACACGTCTTTTACGCCTGAGTCTATAACTCCAGCAAAGAAAAAGAAAAAAAAAGTTGACAGCGAAGATGATATGTTGAATAAAGCATTTGAAATATTGAGTACTTCTGCTGCGGCAGCGACAACTGACGATGACGAAAGTCGAAGTTACGGGATTTACCTAGGGAACAAACTTCGACAATAAACTGCAAGAACACGAAGTGCTGTTCAACATGCATTTGGTGATATAATTTTTAGAGCTGACCAAGGTATGTTCGAACATGAATTGTTGCAGAATCTAGGTATACGCTATCCTAATCCTTATTTACCACAACGATTTTCCAGTACTGTATTTACTCCATTCCATTCTGCATCAACTGTTTTTTCTGGTCCTAATTCTGATCCCCTCTCAACAAGTACAAACATCTACACTACACCAACTGACTCCACTTCTACCACAAACTTTTCTTCTGTTTATCCTAACGATATTTCTCACATTCCTGACCAGGTTTCAAACGAATTAGGTTCAGTAAAGGTGTTATTATTGTAATATTATAAATAGGTAGATATTTTTATTTTTTATTTTCGTTACCAATAATTTGGAGTCTGAAATTGTTTTTTTTTTGTAATACTTATTTATTTTTTTTGTTTATTATTTAACTAAAACTTTTAAATCCAAATTTATAACTTTATCATTCCTCATTTCTCATAATTATTTGTTTTATATCAATACTCAAATTAATGATTATAATGTACTTAATAGTTGTTCTTATTATTTTATAATATATTTATTATGTTGTTTAATTAAATTGTGTTCATTCGTTACAACTCTTAATACTCTTATACTTTTAAAAGTTTATTATTAAAATTATTTTTATTGCATGTTATTTTTTTTTTTTTGTTTCTATTGATTATAATATTCATAACAAGTAGATACTTTTATTATTTTGTTATTTAAAATTATTAAATTACATGTTTATAATAACTGAATAGTATGATTAAAATTAATTAACAACATAATTTATTTACCTGAATATTTTCCTTTAAGGCTTCTACAATTGCTTTACATACTTCTGGCACAATTAGACCAATAACTTGTCGAGATATTTTGAAAAGGTATTGAAGACTAGTATATGAATCCCCAGTTGCTAAATACCTCAATGTTACTGCCAATCGTTCTTGTACAGGTATTGCTTTTCGGAATGTTGTACCCATCCTAGAAATTTTAGGACCAATCAAGGTAATAAGATGTTCAAAGTCAATTGATGACATCCGAATAAAATTGTTAAACTGTCCGCTTATTTCTTGAGACCTGAGGTCGTTAATTAAAGTAGATCCACTATAAATATTACGGCTCTTAAAAATATTTGTTTGCCACCATCTTCTTTCTTTTCGTTTCTGCTTTCTTTTTTTCAATATTGAATGCATTAAAATAAAAGCAGCACAGGACACTTGTAAGTTAGACATGGTCACACGACATATACTAGTGAACAGCAACGAACAACTGATGCAGAACAAAATAAATTTATTTAGTCTATTTAGTCATGAACTGATGGATCAAGGGCGCGCAAAATATTTGGGCAAATGCACGTGTAACACTATGATACACTCAGGGGCGCATTAAGGGGGGGCAAAAGGGGCATTTGCCCCGGGCGGAAGTTTTTTGGGGGCGGTACATTTTTTGTAATTTTTTTTTTTTTTGTATCTCAGAGTCAAAAAGAAAACATACTAATTGTTTGACATAATGGAAAACTCGCTTGTTTAAGAAACAACTAATAATAATTAGTATTATCATACTAATGTACTATTCTTTTGTACTTATTTTTCTTGGGAAGAAACAAGAAAAAAAAAAAAGATGAGCATTTTACAATGATTCTAATTTTAATAGTACTGTTCACATTGGAAAAAATAAAATTATAACAATTTATTTTTATTAAAACTTCTAAATTATCTACTACTATTATTATTATTATCTTAATTTGTTTTTAATAGTATTATAATGAAAGTTATACTATTAACCTGTGTGAATAAGATATTTTGATAGCATTCTAAAATTGATTGTGAATAGTCAAACGTTTTTCGTAAGTCGCGCGTGACACATTATTTTCTGTACAATGGCAAACTATTCCAAAAAACCGATATGGTATTAATTTTTGGAGAATGCCTTCAAAATTCGCGTAACGCAGCGGCACTTTATGCTGAACGATATCCCGAGAGATATCATCCACCACACAATTATTTACGAATTAACTATTTTAAAACTTCCGACCGTCATAAACATGGCAATTTTGAAGATATCAACAAACTGTAAAGATCAAAGTTGTTCAGAAAAAATAAAGAAATCGAAATCCGGTCTCCAAAATAGTGATTGCTATTTAAGAAATTTTTATTTTACTGCGCATGCGCTGATAAAAAAAAATAAAAATTTGAATTTATTAAAAAAATATGTATTTATAAGTCCTATATGCAGTATAAAAACCCCGATTCAAATTCAAGGTCATACGATCGAAATATTTCCTGTTACCTTTAAAATTGAACACACGTTATATATATATATATATAATACATTGATGAATCAAAACGATGTACCTATAGTAATTATTTTGTACATAATGAGTAATCGGCTCATTAGCAATGACTTAAGGTGAAATTAAAAATATTTTTACAATTCTCGATTATTATTTAAAAAATATATACCTATTACCTACAGGTAATTATTTAGTATAATTACAAAGTTACACGCGTACATACAATATGTATATAATAATATATTATATACAATTCAATAAAAGATAGGTATAAAGAGAAATTTATTTTTACCATATTAATCATTTTTTTGTACCTAGGTCCTAGGTTGATAATATAATGTATTAAATATTTACCTGGTTCCTCCGAGTTAATTGTATCATAAATTAGTGAGTTAGAAAAATATTCGTTTATTCTTTTCATTTGTATTGTTTTATAAAATATTTAAACAGTAAGGACAATTTACTAAACGTCCAAAGCGTCAGAAATTTGATTGAAAACTGAGAAATAGATTCTATACTATAGTATTAGCGATACTGAGATAGCTATTAAGGCATATTATATCGGATTACACGATTGTCGACCCTCATGTTTGTGTTTGAACAAATTTCCCAATAATTTCATTAATTTGTAACAAGTTATCAATAATATCTACAATATATTATAACAACAAACTGGGTTGCTTATAAGTTATAATATAATGGAGTATAATTTGGAATATAATATTTTTTTAAATTGTCATCATTTTTACTATACATTTTTACGTTATTACGTAAACTGAAAAAATACTAAAGGGGGGGGTTTGAACACCCAAACCCCCCCCCGTGTGTACGCCACTGTATAGTAGAATATAAATATTTATCATTTATAACATGAAATATTAAGTAATACAAATCTATATAATTTTTAAAATAATATTTGAATAGATTATATTTAGTTAATTAGCATATCTAGGTACAGCTGTTGTGTACTTATTCGGGACGATCACCTAGTTGACGGACACACTAGCGCAACAATCGAACCAAACATTCGTTGATGTTCGACGAAAAATCCACTAAGTTCGGAACGACCACGTAACACAACAAATGTTACAGTAACACCGTACACACTTGTGCATTACAGTTACGCTGTAACGTTACATTACGCCAAAATGCACGTAGGTGTCACCGCCTTTATATTTCACTCAGGCACGCCCGCAGAGATGTACCTCACTAGGTGCAAATTATTTTTAGTGTCAATATAAGTTGTGGGGGGCTTCGCCCTATCTTTATCATCAATGATGGGTTTAACAAAATATATTTTAAACATAACTCATTTTATTTATTACTTCTAATCAAAATGTATATTCTTGTTAACATTATATATTAATACATTATTAATCATTGAAAAGTAATGCCAACCACCTAGTACTCAATCCAAACTTTTCAATAACACCTTCTAATTGCTGTTCGAAAAATTCCTTATTTTCTTACCTTTGTCGATGAATATTAATCAGACCTAAACTACTTAACCTTTCATTTCCCATTCTGTTTCTCAGTCATGTCTTTAAACGACTTAATGTGCTAAAATATAATGACAATTTATTTTATAAGAATATTATAATATACCGAATAAAAAATGAGAAATATCATATAGAAAATTTTACCTGAAAGATCTTTCTACTGAACATGAAGTTGCGGGGAAAGTAATGGTAATTTGTATAGCCATACATACAGCTGGATAAAATGTTTCATAATCAAGAATATCGATCAGTTCCATGTCATTTTCGAGTGGTTTATCTTGCCATAATTCATACCACGATAAGGCTTGTTCTTCAAAGTTGTCTAGAAGAGATACATTTCACTGATAACTTCAAGTGTCTTCACGAATGCTTGGCGGTCCATTAGCTTAATTTTTTTGGAATGTAGGTCAAATAATGCAAATATTTTTAATTTTTCATCAGAAAATCGATCTTTTATAGACATAATAATTGAATCAATATATGGAATAAATAAAGATTGTCTAAAATAGTCCTGTATATTATTAGTTGGGTAATTTTCGCGATGTGTCTGTCGTGCGTTTCGTCGTGGTAGAGTCAACTCCAGATGCATTTTGGTTGCAATGTCTATTGCTTTTTCAAATATTGCACTAAATTGAGTCTCACAGTCATCACGATCTTTTTGTAACATAGTTAAGAGGTCTTGAATGTGTTTAGTGGCTTGTTGCAAATCAACATAAATTCCTTATAATACTGCAGAAATAATTTTATATTTTGCAGAATACTTTGAAATTATTGATAGTATAACTACAAAAGTTGGAGTAATTATTGCAGCTAAAAGTTCGTAGCTACGCGTTTTTTCTTACAATTTAAAAGGTTTGATTTCAATATTTCTTCTAAGCCTTCTACAATTGTTACAAATCATTCATAAAACTGTCTGTCACTTTTATGTTTTTCCACAAATCGTGTTTCACATAACTTAGTTAACACACTACCTCCAATAATATTTTTGCGAACAGCACTATCTAAAAAATGTGATCGTTTCTTTGATTTTTTCAATACAGTTCCTAACTTCTGTCACAGAGTTTAAATCATTTATAACCAAATTTAAACGATGACTTGCACAGTGAAAAAAATGAGCCATTGGGTACACATAATTTATTCTTTTTTGTACTCCTGATATATGCCCTGTCATTGTTGCACATCCATCATAACCTTGACCAACACATTTATTCACATCAATGTTAATGTTACTACATGCCTCTAAAATTGTTTTAGTAATAAATTTGGCATCAAATTCAAGTAGAGGAAAAAATCCTAAAAATTCTTCATGGACCAATTTATCCTTCAAGTACCTTACACATATTGACCTAACCTGTCACACAAACTGATATTAAATTATTATTTGGAGTATTTACTTTTGTTTTGGTTGGTATGAGATACTAATCGATATGCTCGTTTTTCTTTTTCTTATCATTTTTAAGAGAACGGATTTTGGCCCGTATGGAAGCGCATGATTGTACAGATGATACCATATTCTTTCTAGCAAGTTTTATGGCAAGCATCCTGGCGTTTAATATGCAGGGGCATCACATTGGATATATTAAGTAGACTTGTAATGGGACTGGACCGAAAAGCTCCAGTTGCCAGTCTTTCTGCTGCGTTATGGATTGTGTCTAATATTTTTAACGCATTTTTGTTACCGTTTATAAACAGGAACGAATTGTATTCAAGTTTGGATCAAATTAGTGATTTGTGTATAGTTGTTAACGTGGAAAAGGAGGCTCCCCAACTGGTATGAGCTAGCATTTTCATTATGTTAATACTTGATGCGCAATTTTTTTTAAATATTTTTAATGTGTGGGATCCATGAGTTTTTGAGTCAAAAATTATTCCAAGGACTTTAGCAGTGTTTTGGTTAGGAATTTTATTACTGTTCATGGTGAGATTTAATTTCTTTTCTTTTTTTTTTCGTGTATAAGTTATGCATTGTGATTCATGCAATTGGATTGAATCACCTTGTCAATCATTGACGTAATAGTTAATAAATTATCCATATTAAGTTCTTAATTTTTCAATGTTTCTAGTGTCGATTTTCTTAAGTAGAAATTCAACTAAATAGATTATTAGATGAATGTATCAACTGGCCTTTTGATAGCATGTCTATAAGTTTGTCTCTAGATGAAGAGGAACAATCGTTCTTAAGCTAGAAAGACAAATTTAAATTTTCAATATTTTCTCAATTTAGTGTAATCAATCGTTATCGTAAATACGAATCTACCACTAGAAAATAATATGCACCAGTTACCAGTATAATACATTTCTTGTCTTTATAAATAATTAAAATAATTAATTTAATAATAAAATTTATAACACAAATACAGAATATTAAAATTATTTTTGTAATTTATTCTTAAAGATAAATTTGCGCTGAATACGAGGGTGTAATTATAACTTAGATACGATTTTTATTTTTTTAGTTATAATTTTTTAAAGGTAATTAAGTCGAGTATGTCCCTATGTAATATGGGTTAATTATACACCGAGCCAGCCTCGGATTTGACCTCCACGCAGACTGGTGGAGAAATTAGTGTGCGATGTTTTATAGAACCAATTTTTGTGCAGGCGGCCAGCAGAGTTTGGCCTCCTTATTTCTAGTCTTCATGGTCTAAATCATGAAATAAATCCGCTGCTTCGAATCCCCTTAAAGGTAATTGTTTTAAAATGCAATTAAAATATGAATATAAGTACATAACAATACAATTAAGTTGAATAAACAATTTATATTTTTGTACCTACATAGTAAAAATGAATCCACATTAGTCAGACTAATCTACTAGTCAGAATACAAGTGTGTTACATCTACTTACATAATATACATTATACACTAACTACTACAAATTAAAGTAAATAGTAATAATTATTAAGTAATAGTACTAACTAGTAGTAAAAAGTTAGAGTAAATATCTTATTGCCTATATAAATGTATCTGGAAAACTTACGTTTAGGTATATCTTGTTCCTGTGTCTTTGCTTTTTTTTTTGTTAAAGAAATTTGTAATTTTTATTAAATTTCGTTTATTAGACATATTTTCTTGTAATGTTCGGCTTCGAAAGTCGTAACTCGCAGTGCAGTGTTGACCGTGATCAGGCCCGGCGCGAGGGTAAGGCGACTCAGGCGGTCGCCTAGGGCGCCATTTTCAGGGGGGCGCCGAAATTGTTTTTTACAATTTTGCACACTTTTGTCAGTAATTTTTTTTATTAAATATAAAATACCTACCTAAAACTTTGTACTGAAATATAGATAATTATTATTATGGTTATTCTGTTTAGCTTACTAACGTAAAATGTTTATCTTATAATATATTTGTTGAAATATACAATTAATATGTAGTACATGTAGTCAGCCTTGACACGTGTGTACAATATAGTAACTAGTTATGTACGAGCATAAGACTCACTCTCTTTACGGATGTAACATGACCTCGGTCGTGCATATATATAGGGCCTTTGATGTATGTAATATCCACTTGCACAGGCGTCGTTGTACAGACCGTATACGATGTGTGTGTACTGTCACAGTTTAATTGTCCAGTTGTACGTTATTATATATTATACTTATACATAATCATATTGTCGTGTTATTACTTATTATATTAATGCTAACATCATTAGTCCGTCAAGCTTCACTTTCAACAATATTGTTCTATAAATATAAAAATTCCTGAATATTTCGCTCATTCGGAAGAAAAACGACACAAGTCAAAAATTGACAATTTTGGGTTTTTTATACATAGTAATAAAACAAGATTCACATTTTATTGTGGAAAAACGAAACTTTTGTAATTTAAAAATTGTTCACCTGAGTGCACTAGTGTCACTATTCCTTTAATAAGAAAATATCATACGTATAACAAGAATAGCCAGTTAGCACTTTTTGATTTATCGTTTTTCTTCCGGACGATTTGTTATCGTTTAATCGGGATCACGTCGAGCCGTTGTCGTTGTGACTCGTGACTACGTCGCGTCGCCTTCGTCCGTCACTTATCAGCTTATTCTGTATATTTAAAAATACACGCTAGTGTATCTAATATCTAGTAGGTACCTATTATATATTATTATATTACTGATTGACGATCGTACTATACGTGTCCGTGACCATACTTTTATTGTCATTTTGTTTTTGCTCTCTGAAAAGAGTACGCCATCGCCACAACAGTCTAGTTGACGATTAAATTTCACTAGTTATTAGGTAAGTTGTAGCTTGTAAGGAACTTTTACAGACAATAGAAAGTAAATAATATATATTTTAATTTATTATTTATTAATAATCTGTCGGAATACTATATTAATTTTATGTTTAATATACCTATATGATATTTGATAAGAATTAATTAATAATATTATTCAAATTATTACAATTAATTTAGGAAACGCTTTAGTTAGAATGGCACCGAAAAAGAAATTATCTGGAGCAGAAAACCTAAAAAAAAGATTAAGAGGGAATTAGAATTTAAAAAAGGTGCTAATGCTTTATCTAAGTTCTTACAAAAAAATAAAGAATCAATTAACGATAATAGCTATTCTTCAAAAGAATCGTTACCTTCTACAAGTTCAGAACAAAATATCACGTCATCTTTATTAGCTACTACAAGTTCTGAACAACATACAATTAAGCATTTAGAAAATATGGATATTTCTATTGAATTTCAAAGTACTAAATTGGTTAGTAACACTGAATCATCTGAACCAAGTATAAGTATTAACTCTGATCCTGCTACTTGGCCCTCATTTTTCACATCAAAACAAATTGACTATATAGTAGTAACCGGTCCCGAAATATTTACAGAATTTTCGAGTATTCAACTAGATCATGAAAAAAGACATTTTTCTGAGATTCATTTTTATCGACATCTTTCTAATGGAGAAAAATTAGTTAGGCGTTGGTTAATTTACTCAAAATCAACGGGGAAAATATTTTGTTTCTGTTGTAAATTATTTGATAGAACTCCGAAGTCAAATTTGGTGATTTGTGGGTTTTCTGATTGGCATAACGTATCTGCTGCACTTACTATACACGAAAAAGCGCCTAATCATTTTAAGGCTTATGGTACATGGATAGAAATAGAAAAACGGTTAAAACTAAATAAAACAATAGATGCAGAGCACCAGCGAATTACGAACATGGAAACTGATAATTGGGTAAAAGTTTTGGACCGTTTGTTATCAGTAACTTTATATTTATCTAAGAATAATCCAGCGTTTCGAGGAAGTTCAGATACATTTTATAGTCAAAGTAATGGAAATTTTTTAAGTTTAGTTGAGCTTTTGGGTAAATATGACGATGTAACTAAAGAATTATTACTTAAAACACTGTCTCGTGAAAAAACCGTACATTATTGCAGTCATTCTATTCAAAATGAATTAATTAATCTCATGGCCAATAAAGTTTTAGAAACTAAATTAATTGATTTAAACTAATTGATAGAAGCAAAATATTATTATTATTTAAATATTATTTTTTGTACGATTTAAAAAATGCACCTGAAAATGAAAACGAATTATTGGAACATTGTATGGATCTACACAATCACCTTAAAGATGGATCTGACTCTGATATTGATGGTGTCGAATTATGCACAGAGATTGTGAACATCAAGCAATTTTTAATTTCTTGTTTGGACGTAAGTTCACCTCTTAATATTCTTCAATACATTTTTGACTATGAACTCCAAGACATATTTCCAAATCTTTGGATTGCTTTAAGATTATTATTGACGTTACCAGCGACAGTAGCTAGTGGTGAGCGAAGTTTCTCAAAATTAAAACCCATAAAAACATACTTGCGATTTACTATGGCTAATGAACGTTTAATCTCACTATCGGTTTTATCTATAGAAAACGAAATAGCTGCGGAAATTGATTTTTCAACAATTATACTGAGTTTTGCCGAGAGAAAATCAAGAAAGGTGTTGATCGATAACAAATTTAAATAAATATTTTATTTATGTTATGTTTTATTGTACACTCTATTTCCATTTATTATTAATTTCTGTATATTTTTTTTTTTAGTAGTATGTAGGTATTTTATATGTGAATATTATACCTATTACATTATATTTCGTCATATTATGTTATTTTTTTTTAATTAAGACGATAACAAATATTGTACAAGTTAAGCATTATATATCATTTTTCCGTATTTCTGTCCATGAATAACATTTTTTCCGAATATTATAATATGGGTTGTATGAAAAAGTCACCAGTTGGCATTTTGGCCTGGGGCGTCATTTAGCCTTGCGCCGGGTCTGACCGTGATTTTGAAGGGCAGGTGCCCGATAATTTTAGGGGTGGATGGGTCGTGGGTGAGTGAGTTCTGGATTTAGTGAGAAAAATTGTAATACAAAACTAACTATATTTGAATATGATATATGAATAAGAATAATAACTTCAATAATAACTATACTAACATACACAGTAGAACAGTACCACGATATTGTAAATAACAACACCAAACAAGACTATTTAAAGCATAAACATTTAGTTGATACTTACAGTTCCAAAAACCTACAGTACCACTCCCTTCCCAATGGCCTAAAGTTGCCACGGGATAATAAATAAAAAAAAAAATTTAGTTGATATTTACGTATATTTATATACGCTTCGGATTGATATTCAGTGTTGTTTTCTAAAACCACTATGAAGTAGGTACCTAAGCAATAGCCAATAAGTAATAATTTAATAACCTAAATTATAATTATCATTTAGTATTTACAGTATGTACGATTATTGATTTATGATATATGAGACATTTTATTCGATCATAATTAATAGTATTATTAATACGGGAGGCACATTTAACAATAAATACCTAGTAAATACAATCGTATTCTAACATAGACAATAGTGCGGGCCGTCGGCCGTTTCCTGAAAATGAATTAATAAAAATCCAAACAAATTATGCTATAAATATACAGCTATCAGCATTTTACACAAAATCGGATAACCAATGAGCATGTTTAATGAAAATTGTGTTATTCAGACTGATTGTACGGCTAACTGCTATGTTGTATTATTGCAGTCTACTGTCTAGTGCGCTGTTCAACGTAATTTTTGTCTATTATTTTGATAATTTGTATTTTATAATGAATTCACGCGTGTGGTTTTTGTTGTAAAGAAAGAGGAGATTTAAACCAAACAAATTGGAATCGACACATCCAAGCCTATAAAAGTAAAAAAATTAAAGTCAACCGTAGTTTTAATATAAAACAATTTTTTACATCAACACTTAAAAAAGGTATGTATTATTATTATATTTGATTGTATCTAATTTCCCTATAACATTATAAATCACAACTGCAGTATGCCAGTATGTGAGAACCATAGACATATTAATAAATGGACTGATCGTAGAAAGAGAGGTTCGTATACCAACATTGTTAGAAAGAAATAGCATACAACTTAAGATGGTCATAAAAGAACAAATTACATATCATGGAGTAAAAAACATTATAATCAATTTAAAACCATTTAGGTAGATAACAAAAATTGATAATTATTAGTAATAACAAGAAATTTCAATTTTGAGTATTTGAATTTTTTAAAATATATTAGGTAGGTATATTAAACATTTTTAATATTTTAATTTTTAACAATGGTTCTTCAGTGTGCAATTAAAACCTGTAAAGAAAAGTTTTCAGGAAAATAAAGATGCATGGGTAAATATTTTTATTGTCATTATTCATTAACTTTATTAACATAATTAAATAAATATTTTATTTGTTTCAACAGTATACCTCGATCAATTGACATGATGAATAAGTGGTTGAAAACTATACGTTCATTTTAACCTAACTTTCAAACCACTACTCACACTAAAATATGTAGTTTACATTTTTTAGAAGCTGATTATAATTTAAGTGTAGTGAACAATCAAAAAGTTTTGAAAAAATCTGCAATTCCCAGTGTTTTTACAAAATGTAAAGTATTGTAATACAATTTAATAATAATTGTGTTTATAATTATCTAACACATTATAGGTTTGTTCCAGCACAGTGTTGTAAACGAGTTATAATTGTTAGAAACATATACTGAACAATATACTTACAACACTGTGCTTATTAATATGCCTATGGCTGGAACAAACCTATTATAATCAGTATCGTACACAGGATTTTAGTTCGGTTAGGGTTTTACCTCAGTAAATAATTTACATTATTTTTTGCTAAACTGTTTTATATAATTAGTTATAACAAATTATAATTAATAATAAATTAACAATTCGTTTTATATTTATTAAAAAATGACCAACAATTATTATTGATCAACTCTGTGTATTGAAATGGTGAAAAATAAGATTTTTTTGAATATAATTCATATGTAAATATGATATTATAATATTATTATTTTATTATATTATTTTCAAGTCGCATCTATGATTGAAGAAATTGAAGTTGAAGAAAATAAATTGATTGAAGAAATTGAAGTTGAAGAAAATAAAGTTGATGAAATTGAAGTTGAAGAAAATAAAGTTGATGAAATTGAAGTTGAAGAAAATAAAGATATCTATGATTTACCACGTGAGTTTCAATGCCTTATTATTATGTGTATTTTGTGTTTTAGGAATTTAATCCATGTATTATGTTTTTAGCATTTGAGGAAAATTTACCCGGGCCATCTGTTACAGATGGTGCACGAAAGGTAAACAAACGTAAATTTTATATTTGTGATTTTAAAAGCGAAAATGATCTAGAAAGCCCAAATAGTAGACGGAAATTATTCCATGCAGCACAAACTTCCCATAAAAAATACCAATCAACCATAAGAAAACTTCGAATGCAAAACCTTAACCTGAAAAAAAAAATTTTAAACTTAGGTATGTCAATTAATTGATCACCTTAAATGTGACAACAAAATTAATGAAAGCTGTTTTTCATTTCTTAAGGTAAGTATTAATTTTGTAAAATTTAATTTAAGTGTTATTGTGAATAATTATTGTAATTGTGAGCTTATAACCAATTAAAATTACTTATTTTTCCTATATATGTCAATAATTAAATGTTTTTTAGTTAGTTTTTTTGTTATTTACAGTTAGAAATAACATAGATTATGACAATAAAAAGGTAATAAGCATGAATATTATGTCAAAATATATGTATGGCTATGGTTAAGGGCCAGTTGCACCGTCTCTGATTAAAGTTAACCGGAGTTAATCGGCCGAATTTGCCCGGTTAAATATCTGTTATCACCTGATTAAGCTTAATCGAAGTTTAACCGTAGACGGTGCAACTGGCTCTAAGTGTTTTATGTGTCACAATGAATTCTTAACTTTACTTTTATTGTTGTATTATTATTATTAATTTTTACGTATTTTTCCTGTGTATGACAATAATAAATGTTTTATTAGTTAGTTTTTTAGTTATTTTCAGTTAGAAATAACATGGATTATGGCAATAAAAAGGTAGTAAGCATGAATATTATGTCAATATATGTATGGTGAAATTCTCTTAATTAATAAATTAATTCTTAACTTTACTTTTATTATTGTATTATTGTTTTTTTTATTAAAAGGAATGTATACCTGATGCAGAAGCTCAGCTCCTTAAAAGGTCCCTTCACCTAGGAACTGGAGCATACTCTCCTGAACTGCGTAGCTTTGCTTTGACGCTTCATTTCTACTCGCCAGCTGCTTATACCTACGTACGTCAAACTTTTAAAGATGCTTTACCACATCCAAGCACTCTAAGAAAATGGTATTCTTCTGTTGATGCTAAGCCTGGTTTCACATTAGAATCCCTTAAAGCAGTAGAAATTAAGGTTAAGGAAATGAAAAGTAAAGGCAAAAAACTAATTTGTGCATTGATGATGGATGAAATGCACATTAAAGAAAATGTTGTGTTTAAAGGTGACAGATCGATAGGTCATGTAAATTATGGTACTGATTCTGAATGTTGTGATAGTTTACCAAAAGCCACGCAAGCTCTTGTATTTATGTTAGTTTCATTAAACTCAAATTGGAAAGTGCCAGTAGGTTATTTTTTAATAAATGGTATTGGATCCACAGAAAAAGCAAATTTAGTAAATGCTTGTCTTGATCACTTGTGTGACTCTGAAATGATAGTTAAAACTTTGACTTTTGATGGTACAGTTTCAAATTTTTCAATGGCCAAATGTTTAGGGGCTGATTTTACTTTAACCAATCTCAAACCTTTTTTTAAGCACCCGGGATCAGAAACGATTGTGCATATTATACTTGACCCAGCTCATATGCTTAAGTTGTGTCGTAACACATTGGGAGATTGGAAAACAATATTTGATGAAAACATGGTACCTATTAAATGGAAATACTTCGAACAATTAGTACAAATTCAAGAAGAAATTGGCCTTCACTTGGGTACAAAAATACGAAAAAGACACATAAAATATCACAAAGAAAAAATGAAAGTACTTTTAGCAGCGCAAACTTTTAGTTCGAGTGTATCAGATGCACTATCATACTGTTCTGAAACCTTAAATTTGGATGTATTTAAGAACTGTGAAGCAACAATTACACTATGTCAAAAAATAAATAATATTTTCGACTTTTTAAACACCAGAAATTTTTTGAGTAAAGCACCATATAAAAGACCACTAGGTACGCAAAGCAAATGAAGATGCAATAATCAATTTCATTCATTCATCCATTAAATATTTACAAAATCTGTATTGTATACCTCCTGGAAAAGATGAAAATGTTATTCCTATAATTAAATCAACTCGAAAAACTGGCTTTATTGGTTTAATTATAACATTGAAAAGTATAGAGAACCTATTTAATGATACTGTAAAAACTGAGGATCTTGATTTTTTATTAACTTACAAATTAAGCCAAGATCATTTGGAGATGTTTTTTTCAGCGATTCGGGCCAGAGGGGGTTTTAATAATAACCCAACAGCTCTACAATTTGAAAGCGCTTATAAACGTTTACTTGTTCATACTGAAATTATGACATCATCAGGAGCTAATTGTATAGCAATGGACTTTACAAAAATATTATCTGTGACAAGTAGAACCAAACAAAAATCTGATAATTTAAATGTGTATGTTGATATGTTGTGCGCTGAAGTAACTGATGATGATCTTAATTTAACCACTTATATAGAAGGTACAACTACACAACAAACCGTAGTAGATGACATTGTTGAATACATAGCAGGATTTATTGTTCGGAAGTTGGAAAAAAAAATAATTTGTGATGACTGCATAAGAAGTTTGACTAGGACCCATTCTGAAGTAGGTTCTCTATTAAATATCAAAAATCGTGGGGGATTAAGAAAACCTTCAGTTGATGTCATCCACCTGTGCCAAATAGCAGAACGTGTTTTTAAAATGTACCAAAGTAGACTATCAACAAGCAGTAATATAATTAATTTTCTCATTATAAAAGCAACTTCGCGAATAAGCATAAATAAGATTTTTTTATCTATAGCTGAACACATATTAAATCAAGAACCATTAAATAACCACCTTTTACAAATAGTACATATTATTTTTCAAAGTTATTTTAGAATACGTATACATCATTATTGTATGAACGAAAGCCAACCAGATGATCGTATTAGATCTTTTTTAACAAAAACGATTCACTTTAAAAATCAATAAGATATTAAGATATAATATCTACTAGGTAACAAAGTTAATTTTTTTGTACTATGTAATTTTATTTTTAATAATATCGACCTATTGTCAAAAATTATTTTATATAATTACTTAACTTTTATATTATATGTATATGCAATACATACATATTAATGATACAATATAAATATAATTTAATATTTGTTTTTGAAAATGTTCTATTTTGTTTTGTCCCAAAAATAAAGTACAAATTACTTACATTTATACCTATTGTACTATTGAACCTATACCATTTATCCTCCGTTTCTTCTATAATATAAATTGAGTATTGCTTATTTGAATATTTTCTGTAATATCACAGTAGTGAAATAATTTATTTTGCAATTATAAAAGAAAATAAAACCATGTTATAATATTTTAAATTTTATATAATATATTAATATTAATATTTAACATTTATATTATTATCATGATCATCCATAGACAAATTATTATGTTATCACCTCCAAATTTTGCTTGTCATTCCATGATATCTAATTTTTTGATCTATGATTTTCTTAAACTATGCTCTATCTCTTTCACATTCATGTATAATATCTTTGATCTCTTTCTAACAACGTTGGTCTCACGGTGACATAGGTGGGGTGTGTGGGGGACGCAGTCCATTTATTAATATGTCTATGGTGTGAACTTTTAGAAAAATACTATAAAAATTAAATAATTTTTATATTTAATAATTAATTTTAATATGGATTCTAAAGCTGATGCCGTCTTACAACCAAAGAGAGAACAATCAACACCTGTACAGAATTCTTCAAATGATTCAGGTTTCCTAAATATTTTTACATTTTTAATAAATTACAAATTATTTTAAGTTTAATGAAGTTCATAACTTCATTATTTTTATTATATATATATATTTATCTAGAATATTTAAATGAAGCAGATCTAACCAGCAGTATTGATGAAATTGATAATCCTAAAAATATTAAACCAGAACCAGAAATACAGAATCCTACCGGCAAATATGGTACTTTATGCTATTTAATTCTATATTTTGTAGACGTTTAGGATAAAATTAAAAATGTAAAATTATGTTGATTACATCTATAGAGTATCCAAAAGGATCTGATCATACTTGCCATGTAAACCTTGGAAGTTTGGAAGTAAATGTTGCAATTAATGAACTAGACAACATATTTTATCAACTGTAACTAGTTCTTCTCACAAAACAGGTACCAATGCATTTATATTATTTTATTTATATTTTTTAATGTACATAATTTAATATAAATATAAATATAATATCATGTATTATGTTGTTGTTTACTTATTAAAGTTAAAAACTAATAAAAAAGTTTATAAAAAAAATTAAAAAGTTGTTTATGATAAATATATATGTTTTTTTTATTTTCCAGATATTGTTACATGGCCTTAATATAATTACTAAGTGTACATTTTTATAGTAATTAATAATTCAATTACAGTATAATATATAAAATACTACAAAAAATAGCAAATGTGGGGGGAGGCCACCCTGGATAAGCCACTGGATGGGTGGTAGGTCAATCAAAAAATGAATTGCCTGATAAAATATTTGACTTCGCCACGCCACTGGTAACTCGTAATAATAAAATAATACCACAATATTACATATCACGTTTATTTAAAGCGATAATGTGATGTCAACATGAGTAAAAATAAAAACCAAATGTACAATAATAATTATACAATCATAATATATACAGTATGTCAGTATACACCTGTAGGTGTAGGAACGGTTGGAAAGACAAACGACAAACTAACACGTTAAATAGGTAATAATTATATATTGCACAGATGTCAACGGTGTATGCGAACAATAATTATATTCGTGTTATGTTGTTACGACGATGACGGTCGGGCAAAAGCTGAGTCCGCCGCCGCCAGCGGCCCGGCCGGTTGTCGGTCACGATCTCGCGGACGCGGACAGAGACGCCGCGTCGTTGCGATAACGACCGCGACACCAGGGTTGCCAGACATACGAGAATTCTCGTACTTGTACTATAATTTGGACCATTTGTACGAGGTACGAGGAAACATTGTTCTCGTACACATAATATACGAGAATTCCATGAAAATCTAAATATAACTATTTTTTATAAAATATATTCTATGTTGTTATTATTATTGATTAAGATATTATTATGTTATTACCAAATACCAATTACCGAAGATATTAATATGAAATAATATTGTTTTTGAAGTACATCGAACATGCACAAGAAAATACGGATAATCCAATTTATTGTCTTTGTTAGTTTGTTATTGATTCATTCCTCGTGGTTTAGTGGTTATAAATTTATAATTTATTATAAAGTACCTAGTTAGAACTTTATTGAGTAATTTTGAGTGCTACAATTCTATTATTTGAAATTTTCAAATATGTTAAACGACAATGAGGAAGATGTCCATTTAACACCACCTAAAAAATCATGAAAAATCCAACGAAACACAGGGCGCAGAAGTTTCGTTCAGAATGGCTCAGAGTTGAAAATTTAAAAGAAAGTTTGGTTCCTGTTGATAACGACCCTTTCAAAGCCAAATGTAAGTTGTGCAATTTCACAATGGTTGCGGAGTTATCTAACATTAAAACACACGGCAATGGTAAAAAACATAAAGAAATTGAAGCATGTACAGAAATAAAACAAAAATCGATAAAAACTTTTACTACAAATAAAACTCCAACGAAATTAGATATTGACGTCAAAATGGCAGAAATAAAATTAACTGCATTTTTGACAGAACACAATATTGCCTTTCTTGCTACTGACCACCTTACGGATGTTCTTAAAAGTTGTTTTAAAGATTCTCAAATAGCTAAAAATATATCACTTAAAAGGACCAAAACAACTTCAATTACGAAAAATGTAATTGATTATTGTCAGAAAGAAGAACTTGTTTCGTACCTAAAAACCGTACAGTTCAGTATATTAACTGATGAATCTACTGATATTGGTACCGTCAAATCATCTTGTGTCATTCTCAGGTAAAATTTACTTATAAGTTATAACTTATATTACATATAAATATATATTCAGTGTTTTAAAGATTATATAAAAAAAGTATTTATATATTTGTACTTAAATATATTTGAATAAAACCATTTTTTTTCTTAAATAATTACCATAATTTATTGTATCAGCAGAACATTTGGTAGGCAGATATTTTGTCAGTTCAGTCTGATATTCAGTAATTTTTATCAACCATATACATATACTAAAAATTTAACACAGTTTATTGAAAAAGTATTAAGTATTTACAATTATTTTGTATTTTGATTATTTTCATAGGTTTTTGATAGTAAATCTGGGAAGATAGAAAGTAAATTTTGGGATCTATATAAGGTGTATGATTCAAAAAACCCGGGTAATGCTACCGCTGAAAAACTATTTAATAGTTTAATGGAATCATTAACTTTATATGGCATACCGAAATGTAATGTTATTGGTTTTTGTAGTGATGGTTGTAATAACATGATGGGTGAGAATAATTCGGTATGCCAATGAAAATAGAATTCCCAGGCATTTTCATAATGAAGTGTGTTTGCCATTCGGCTCACCTTGGTGCAAGTGAATCCTGTAAACGGTTACCAAGATCATGTGAAGATTTGGCCAGAAATATTTTCAACTTTTTAAAAAGTTCTTCAAAACGCCAATGTGAGTTCTCTCAGTTTCAAACGTTTTTAAATCTGGATCCCCATAAAATATTACATCCATCACAAACTCAATGGCTGTCTTTAACTGCAGTAGTAGACAGAGTTATAGAACAATGGGATGCACTGAGATTATACTTTTTAGATACTGTTTTAGTACAGCGGCTTCTGTCAACTGAACATATCCTTGCTGCTTTGAATGACCCTTTTATGAAGTTGTTTTATTATTTCTTGCAATGGGCTCTTCCTAAATTTACAAGGTATTATTTTATTATATTATTTATTAGTATAGCTACCTACTTGTTATCAATTGTTTACAGTTAAGTACACTTTATTTATATTTTTTAGATTTAACCAATTCTTTCAGACAGATTCTGTTGTTATTACTGATTTACATGAAAAGATTGTTTCACTCTACAAAGAGCTTTTATTATGTTTTTTGAAAAGAGACTATGTTATGAGAACTCCTCTAATAAATATAAATCCCATGAATGGGCAATATCAAATCACAGATAATGAACTGTATCTGGGAACTAAGGAATTAATGCATAAGGACAATCCGGATATTTTAAGTAATAATAACCAACGTAAAGACTTTTTTGAAAGGTACCTATAATCATTTGGTTTATTTTTAAGATAGGAAAAATATTTTACACAACGTTTTTCTTTTTAAGGTGTCGTCAGTTCTTACAAACATCTTCTTTAGAAATGAAAAAAAGATATAATATGGCTGATCCTGTCTTAACAGAATTATTTAGTTTTAAACCAAAAAATGCTTTGTCATTAGAATTTAGAAACACTAAGGCTTCTCTTGTCAATCTGATTAAATTAGTTCCTTGTATCATTAATATTAATGACCCACGAATATAAGTCATTGATGACGAATGGCGTAGATTACCTATTTCAATAAGTTCGCTTCCAGATGATATTGAAAATATGATTGAACCAGATACATTTTGGTAAATAAAAATTGCAGATTTTATTATTAATATTAATTAATTTAAAATTTAAATGTATTCGGTTATAGGTGGTCTATTAAAAAGTTTAGCATCGAAAATGATACTCAAGAGTTTATCCAACTATGTAATTTTGCACTGGCTTTGCTTAGTTTACCACATGCAAACGGGGATTGCGAACGAATATTCTCTTCTGTAAATTGTATGAAAACCAAGATCAGATCAAAATTAATAACTGAAACTATAAGTGGACTTCTTCATACAAAACAATGTATAAAAGGTGGCAGTAAAAGTCAGAATAATTGTACTAACTTTGAACCCACTAATGCCATGTTAAGTAGAATGACTGCAAATTCTCTATATAGTAAAGGCGAAGAGTCAATATTTTCCGATTTAAATGTTGAACCAACTTACCAAGTTACTGAAATGGACTGTGATGTAATAGTTATTGGTTAAATTGATTTATATTGAGAAGGAAATAAATGTATACTCATATTAAATATTATATAATACTATAAATTGTTCTTTTCTAATTAACTGTTCCTAAATAATATTACAAAGTGTAAAGTGTATGTACTATTACTACTATTACCTAATAAGGAAATGAATATTGTCTGGTAAATGAAAATCATTAATTTTGATAAAGAACATCACATATTATGTGATAATAATCATTGATTAGCGAGCATAGCGAGAGGTTTTTTTTTGTGATACGAGAATTTCATTGAAAATACGAGAATTTGATAACCACAATACGAGAATACCTGTTTGAGAATCTGGCAACCCTGCGCGACACACCAATGACAATATATATGAATATGAGTTGCTCGAACATACCCAAAATAAATAATAGTGTACCACAGAATAATATTATTAGTGACCGAAATAAATGTATTAACTATTAATAGACGCGTGGGTAGACGTGACTGTACCCAGTACTAAAGTGCGACAGACGACGGTTTTTCAGAATAGCTAGAATAGGTAGGTATTTAATATTTACTATATGATTTCACTATAATGTATTATATTGGTAGGTACCGAAAACGTAATGTTGCGATCGTCGTCGAGTGTCGACAATAAACGGACCGTTTCTAGGAGTAAAAAATATTTAGTTAAGCTATTAATAGACGAAAACTAAAACCGATATAGAATTGTTCATAAATGACATATATATAATATTATTTTGATATTATTATTATTTGACAATGAATAAAGAATTAAAGGAATAAAAAAAATTATTCAATAGTAAAAAAATGTATTTAAAATACCGTTTAAATACGAATACTTCAAAAATAAAAGTATTTTAAAAAGTATTCAATACGGAATAAAGTATTTAAATACTTTTACTCAAATACTTTACAACACTGTATATAACTAAGTATATAAGTATTAAATTAAAAGTTATGATTACTACTACCGATTAGTTTTTTCTAACTATCATTGAAATAAACTGTTGTGTAGAAAAATAGAAAATCATTGGTTTTTTGAAATAAAACAATTTTATTATAAAAACAAATTAATGCTTGTTTGATCTTTTTCATAAATGTTATAATAATATTGTTTATTTTAATATTTCTGATATGTACATTTATTATTTAGATACTAAATATTATTTAAAATCATTAAGTCTTAAGAAGTTAGTAATTAATTAATAACTATATCCTGAAAAAAACAATTTAGGAGTAAAATAAAGTATAAAAAGTCTTAATATTAAATAAAACGTGAATGTTGCGTATTTATTATTCCAATAAAATCAAATATTTACATTTGTATTTTATGAATAGTACTCTTTTGAGGTCTAGTGTATACGTCTCAGGGACATCATGACATCATGACACTCATCAGACACATAAAAAACCGGTGAAGTCGCTATGCTGTATATACGACATACTTATAATAGATTTAGTGTATATCAGTGTTTCTTAAACTGTGTTCAGCGGAGATCACTTCAGGGTTGTAACATTTTCAGTTTCCAATTTTTTTAGTTTTTTTTCGATAAATGTCTTATGCTTATGCCTTAAAACCATTCTGAATAGTAAAGAACAAGCTTCCTTGAGTCAATACGTTTAAATTACAGATAGGTACCTACTCCAAAAACTACTACCTAATGTAAATATACCTAATATAATCACACCAGTTGCTAAAATATTGAAAACAAATAAATAAATAAAAAACACATATTAATGATGAAAATATTGATGATATAGTCTTTCGGCAATGACGCACCCAAGGGGGGGGGTGGCTTTGGGGATTTTTTTTCATTAAATTATACATTATTATAGCAAATATAATAGTATAACAATGATAAATGATAATGTTATATTTTCAAATTGTATTATGTTAGATACACATTACACACATATATATTTAAATAGTTCAATATTACGCGATAAGGTTTGTGGGAATAGCTAATTTCTTATTTCGTTTAAAATTAATTTTAGATTTAGATATTAGTGAGTAGCGATTATGTAGGATCGACTTTGATTGGTAACTACTTTCGACTGTCTGCAGTGGCATGAAAAACTCGTTTAGATTTATACTTTTGAAAATATTCGCAACGTTACCAGAAAGTACAAGTACTGCCGAGAGGTCGTTTTCCACACAACGGCGAATTAAAACCTATCTCCGAAACACAATGGGACAGTCACGTTTAAATGGTCTGGCAAATCTTCGCATACATCGAGAAATACAAATTAAAGAATCCGAAGTATTAACAGTTCTTTCTGAAAAGGGACCCAGGATACTTAAATTTTAAATTGATTTAGTTATAAATATAATTATAAATATTAAATACATAATAATATAACATTATATTGTGATAATAAATAAAAGTGATTATTTAAAAATTAGTTTTAGTTGTTTACCACAGACTTCTATACTACACTAGATAAGGAACTCTTATACAATATACATTGTTACAAATGAAGCTCAGCTGTGAACGGCCGCCATTTTGTCGGTTGGCAAAACATTTCATTTATTATACAAAATGTATTAGGAATAATATTTTTTTTAACGGTCAAATAAAATAGTAAATGTAAAATGACTTATATAAAATATTTTTTTTTTTGTAAACTAAATGTTTAAAAATAATAAAATACGATATAAAATAAATCATAATATCATCTTATTTGTCATATGAAATACCATACAATTGCCAACCGACCTTGAAGCTTCAATTCATGACCGGAGTTCGCTATCTAGTAATATATAGAAATCTGTGTTGTTTACTTGTGTGTAATTATTAAGCCCCCTCCCCAAACAAAAATTCTGGGTGAGCGCCAGCCTTTCGGTACCTACTTATGTGAAAAAACAGGCAACACTTTTTTTGTACACAACTTAATAATTAGTTTATTTTAACTTGAATTGATAAATAATTTTGAATTAAATTTGTATTATTAACGATAGACTTAATTTAACAGAGTTCAAAAATATCATCAACTTGTCCAACCTTGGGTAATATAGTAAATTCTCATTAAGTTAGTTACTACATTTAAATAAACATATAATTTTCTAAATAAAATACAAATTTTGATTTATTTTTATATATATATATGCATTTATATATACATAATTTATATATAATATAATGTACAAAGTTGTTAATTGGTAATTAGTTTGATGAGAAAAACATGTATTTACCCTTAACATATACAAATATATATAATTGATTACATTAAGTTAATTTTGTGCTATTTTCAAACAATTTACAATAAAATATGTGAATGTTATGTAGATAAAAAAATAACATGAAATTGTATCTTAAATTAAAGACAAAACATCATAATCGTAGATAACCCGGCTTCACGACCATAATATGTAGGTATATTATAATTAATTCAAAAGCTATCAAGGTAATAAATACCGAATGCATTTTAATGTTTTATGTTGATTAAAATACATCAGATAGGTATTGTATAATAAAATAAATCGAATTTCGACAAGATTTGTTATATTGTAGAATATAATAAACCCAGTCTAGTTCTAGTTTCTGTTCCTTAACTCATTAGTAGCACTAAAACTAATTAAGTAAATGGTATATTAGCTGTATGTTGAAGTAAACAAATTGTATCAATTAATATTATTTAACTTAGAGCAATAAATAAAAAAAAACAATTCACACGCAATACTAATTTTATGTATGAGAGTCTTATTCAATAGGTATGATTGATGGCCAAGGCATAATATGTCCATCTTACACCATAAATTGTAAATAACCATCGACGTCTTGCAGTTGTTTGGACGTAAATTTCGCAGAAATTACTTGCTTTCCGGTGAATTGTGGTGTGAATTTGAACGACACACTGGTCGTTTTTTTTGCGCTGACTTTACTGTCGAATACAAAGTCAAATAATCACATCATTAGATAAATGTCCAAGATAACGATTAAAAAAAAATTCCCTTAGAGTTGGTTTTAGTCGTTAATTTTCAAGAAATATTGTACCTATTTGCAACTAATTTTATAAAGTATATGTGTGATATCCAGTGGCCTGATTGTAAACATAATTAACAATATTTATGTTAAGCTAAAATTGTTCTTATGCCTAACAATGTAAAGTCTAGAACCACTCGCAAAAGAGCCAATTCAGCTAGAGATAGATACTTGTCCTAAAACTGAAGTGTTATTTATCAATGTCAAATTGTTATTGCAATATGATAATTTATAAAGTAAAACATACTTGCCTAATGCCTTGTTCTCATAATAAGTTAAAATAAATAAATTATTGAATATTCTTTTAACACTATAAAATATTATTAAACTATATCAAAAAGTTAACGACGTTTCAAGAAAACAATCAAAACATCTATCAAATTCTCAATCTTAAAGATTTGTTATTCAACCTTAATATAATTTTACAGAATATGGTCCATTTCGTGTTTCACAGTTTTGCCTACTGGCTGACACTAGAACCACCATTTTATTATGAATATTAAACTACATTGAAAATGCTCATAATTTTCATTTTGATATTTCAACGAGCATAACGATCGTGTGATTGTAACCTAATTGGTATATATTTCTATATTTACATACATGATATAAATTACTCAGATTTCATATTTATTGTATTAATAATAAAATTTACCTATCCCGTTTAAAAAAAAAATCCAACACCATGTCAGGTTTAGTGTGAATTTATAATAAAATATTATGATATTTATACTGTTTAAATTGCTAATATAACTGGTACCTAGAAAAAGCTATAGTTCCGGTTACGAAACTTAAAAAAATGTATCTGGATATTTAATATATTAAGTTGCATTCAGGTTTTATGCTAATTCTATTTGCTTTTGTGCTATTCAGCTAATCTTATATACTTAGAATGATACAATACACCCTTTTTGCATGTTTAGATGATAATAATATAACTGTAAGGGCATACATATAAGTTACTTTAAATAACCTTCAGTGATCTTCAAAAAAAATCAATTATCTGTAGGATTGTAAAAAAATGGCACGGAGAGAAGTTACTTACCCAACTTTGATTTCCAGAGTTTTAGGTAACGATGAACCAGCGATTAAGAATTTTCCGTCTTTCAAGGACAGGGGCAACGGATTTCTAAACTTAACAGTAGCCCGAACTTCACGTGACATGGCAGGTTTATCATGCATCTGTTAGAAACATTATTTAGGTAAACATTAATGTTATTATAATGGTTCATTTTACGTAATATAAAATTTTTAAACTTATTACTTATAGTATTAAATTAGTGTTAAGGCTACAACACTCACTTCGAATTCAATATCCGGTTTTCTAACCCTAAAGTCATCCTGTCCGAAGTACTCGTAGTCTGTGTCAACCACGCTCGCCAGACATGATATGTTGAAAACATTTTGGCTTTTTACATCGTTACCATAATCAAAATACGTCAACGCGGTTTGGACAAATTCAACGTTTGATCCTGTTGAAAATATTACCATTGGTTATAAATACCTACTATAGATTGCTCACTGGCCGGTTTTTTGGTGGCGCAAAATATGTACTCCCCGTTATGATGAGACGGGGATAACGGATGATGAGACGGCGTGACTACTAGCGATTACAACGATATGTCGATACGTCTAGACATTATTAACCATGACAAAATAGATAGATATTATCACCATAACCCGTACTCAAACCTTGGCCTCCTGGGTTTGTAATATCGTGTAACGTTTTAGTCGTTAGTAGTCACGTTGCCGACCCATCTACCGAGAGTAAATACTTTGTGCCACCGAAAAATCGGCCAGTGAACAATCTATAACAATTTATAATCAATGATGTTAAGTATAAAAATATGTTTTTATAATTTGTATTATGATTTCAGTTTATGCTCAACATTTTTATCTTCACATATTGATGGAGCAGAATCGAATTCTTATGGAACAGCTCAATTTATTTAAAACCATCGGAAATGAACAGCCAAATCAATTTTATGTTATGGCAGAAACAAAAGCATAAGTTGTTTTAAGGGCCACAAAACGGGACAAGTAGCTCACGATTGTTTGGAGACATTTATTGGTATGGCCGACATAAATAAATGGTTTGGTGCACTAAAAATCGGGTCATTCTGGGCCAATCAAAGTAGACCAGCTCAACAGTGGTTCAAGAGTCGTCTTTTTGTCAGTTTGGAAGATGTTGAACGACAGTTTACGATAGTTCATCTGCTTGTAAGTGTTGCAACGAAGTTTCTTTTTGGTAATCTGTGTGTCAGTGAAGTGTCAGTAGTTACCTATCCTAGCTATTTGAAAAAATATGACTTTAAACAGCATCATCAAGCTTTCAATTATTACCTGATATTAGTATACCTAGTAGTCAAGTGCATATTAATATGAAAAATAAATTGTAGTATTATGATGTTAAGGTAAATAACTTTGTAATTTTTATTGAATGATTTTTAAAAAACTGTAATGTATAATTTTTATAGATATTCTTCAACAAATTGGTGAAGCATTTTATAAGATTTGTCGGTCATTCCTTAGAGCCCATTTGACGGATTTACAAAGACACGCGAAAACAAAAATGCACTGTGAAAAAATGAAAAAACTTAATCCTCAACAGAACAATCAAACCGTCTTAAGTAATACAATTATAATTACCAATGAACAAAAAGAGTTAGACTTAAAGTTGTCCTTGTATGTTGCAACTCATACTTCTATCAAAAGTATAGATCATCTTGGAGAAATACTAAAGGTTATTGGGAAAAAAAATAATTCACTTCTAAGCAATTTAAAGTTACATCGAACTAAATGCTCAACAATAATTAAAAATGTGATATCACCATCATTACTAGAAGAACTCATTCTGGATATAGGTACAACTCCATTTTCTTTAATTGTTGATGAATCAACCGATGTTTCTGTAATTAAGTATTTATGCTTATGTGTGAAATATTTCAGTACAAAAAACTTATGTGTAAAAATTGAATTTTTGAGTATAATCGAAGTACAGCTGAAGCTCTCAATAATCATGTCTGTAATTATCTTAAATATATTTGTCTAGATATAAGTAACTTAGTAGGTATTGGTACAGATGGAGCAAATAATTTATGTGGAAAACATCACTCCCTCTTTACACTGCTAAAACAAAAAAGTCCTAACCTACAAATTGTTAGATGCATCTGCCATTCCCTCAATAATGCATTGTCAAAGGCCACTGAACAATTCCCTAGTAATATAGATTTTCTTTGTAGAGAAATATACAACTGGTTTCATATAAGCCCACTTAGACGATTTGAGTATAAAGCCACGTTTGATCTCTTAAATTCATCCAATAAAAAGTTACACCAGTTTAAACAGTTATCCGGTACTAGATGGCTGGCACGTGCATATGTGGTTAATTCTATACTAGAGAATTGGCTTGAACTAAAAACTCATTTCTCCACGGTCATTAATAAAGAAAAATGTTATACGGCAAGAGTTATAAATGAAATGTTACAAGACAATATCAATTATCTTTTTTTATTAATTATTAGACCTATACTAAACGAATTCAACCACTTAAACTTAACTTTTCAAAAAAATTTTGTAGATATTGGTAAATCATATGATGATATTACAAGTTTGTTCATTTTTTTAGCTAAAAAAATAATGAACGATTCCATTGTGACGCTTGGCTATGATAGTGTTATTGAAAATATAGATAATGATTCAGCCTATAATAGTTTCAAACATTGTGATTTTGGCATAGGATACAATGAAGGTCTCTCTAACATAGTTATATCACAAGAAAATAAAAATAATATTCAGAGTAGGGCATTTGTGTTTATAAAACAACTGTTATACGAAATTAAAAAAAGACTACCTGATAATCTGAATCATTTTAGAAAATTGCAATTATTTTCTCCTTTACAATGTCTAAATCAATTACATCCAAGCTGCATTGAGTTACCTTTTATTAATATATTCCTTAAGCCTACTGAACTTGAGTTGTTATCTATTCAGTGGGATAAATTAGTAACTGTGAATTGGACATCATATTTAGCTAAAGATAAAATTGTTGACAGCTATCATTTTTGGGCTGAAGTTTATACATACCAAGATGCAGGGGGCACTTTTATTTTCAGACAATTGTCTGAATTTGTCCTAAAAATTCTTGTTTTACCTTCCAGTAATGCCATAGTTGAAAGAACTTTCTCAATAATGAACTCTATAAAAACTAAATCCCGTAATAGGATTTCTATACCTATGTTAGAGGCATTATTGAGAATAAGATGTCATTTCATTTCTACTAAACATTGTTGTACCATGTTCACTCCAACAAATGGCATGTTTAAAAGATTTAACTCAGACATTATGTATCCTAAACCTAAACTTGAATCAAACAATAGTCATGATGATAATAATACTGAACTTGATGATGATTTAATTAATTTGTTTAATGAAGTTTGTTTGCCTGATTTTTATGATTAAAATGTTACTCTTTTATTAATATTTTGACTATTATATATTATGTTTAATTAGGTATTCTAAGGAAAGATACAAGTTATAATATTATTTATACATTTATTAAATGATAAACATTGTTATTTAAATATTTAAAAATTGATACTCATATTGTTTTAAACTAGTCTAAACCATTTGTAAACAATAAGACTGTTATTGTTAATTTTAAGGTGTCATGTAATCAAATAGTACTGTACCTCTATGAAAGTTTTTTTATTTATATTTGTTGTATTATGAAATGTTACTCTTTTATTAATATTTTGACTACTATATATTATGTTTAATTAGGATACTCATATTGTTTTAAACTAGTCTAAACCATTTGTAAATAATAAGACTGTTGTTATTCATTTTAAGGTACCATGCAATTAAACAGTGCTCTACCTCTATGAGAGTTTTTTATTTATATTTGCTTTATTATGAAATGTTACTCTTTTACTACTATTTTTACTATTACTATATTATGTTTATTTATTCTGAGGAAAGATACAAAAAGTTATAATATTATTTATACATTTAGTAAGCACTAAATATTGTTATTTAAACATTTAAAGATTATGACAATATTTAATATTTGATTTACCCAGGTAATATTGTGTATTTTGTGTTTACTTATTTATAAAATTTAATATAATTACTGCACACTACCAACTGACGGATTAGGTACCTACAGAAGAACAAATTTATTCATTCATATTTTCAACCACAGTTATAATTTTATATTTATGATAAATAATGAACAAATTGTTGTTGAAGTTGATATTTTATAGTTGGGTGTAATAATATTTTTTTTTTTTTTTTTGGCGTTTTGTGGCGTTTTTTTTCGTTAATGATTTTGGCGGTAAATGGCGTTTTTTGTATCTTGATTTGGCGATAGTTAATTTTACAAATCTGGCAACACAGATTTGATAAAATTTCATCATAGAGATTCACTTATTTTAAATGGCATAAAAATATATATTTATAGCTGTAACTCTCACTTAGTGACACCAATAATATTGATTTAAAACCCTTTGATAAATTATCTACAGCTAATTAAACAATATTATTAGATTATTAAGTCCAGAAAATTTAGTTAATCATTCTAAAAATAATAATTCTATTCATTATTCTGTATTTAAATTTGTAGAAATAGCGATAAGTGAATAATGAATTGTGATTTAGTGATTGAAAGAGTACGACTATACTCTGTAGGCTATACCTAGCTATTCTACATTTCTGGCGTCTACTATTTATTAAAAAATCACATACAATGTATTACGTCATAAAATGGAATTTTGTTCTATAATAATGTCGTAGTTACTATCCACTAGTCATTCAAAACCCTCTATTCAGTATCTAAGTCTATTCTCTAATCAAGACACCAAGTACCAGTAAGCACACGTACAAGTTGAACCTACTAATTTACAACACTAAATACATGAATATATTATTAAAAGTTAAATAATATTTTTCTAGTAACTAGTTGTATAACAATATGACGAGCGACAGCAATGATACAGATATAGTGTTAACACGCCTTTGCAGAACCGAAGAAAAAGTCATACAAACATAAATTCTGTGAAAGTTGGTTCAATTTAAATCATGATTGAAATAAAATTAAAAAAGGTCAGTTTTTTTATCACTGTAAAGTTTGTCAAGAAGATCGTTTTGGAGGTATTTCTGCTGTTCGTAAACATTCTAATTTAAATAAACATATCCAAGCTCTAAAATCTATAAAAAAAAATGCCAATTAGGTATCTAGGTACTACCAATTAATCAAGTTATCCAAAATAGTCGTGCTGTGAATATTCAAAATCAAACTAAAGAAGCTGCAATTCGGGTAAGCATGTTTATAACAGAATACAATATTTCATTAAGAACATCAGATTATTTCATTCAACAGTTAAAAGTTCTGTGTCCCTAGTCTAAATCTATAACAGCATTAACTTGTAATCGAACCAAGGCTACCAGCGTTGTAACTAATGTAATCGGTAAATATCAATACGAAACATCAAATATGTATACGAAATATCAATTTTTTATTTTCATTGGGTATATTTTTTAATATAATATAGATATTTTATTCAACTAGTCTTTTTTGTCCGATTAAGATTTTTTTGTTCAACTACTCGGTTTTTCCAATTAGGATTTTATTTATTCATTTCACAATTTTTTTTATTCATTTTAGGTTTATTTTATTTACATGAGGTATATTTTTTTATGAAGTATAGATTTCTTATTCGACTAGGCTTTTTTTTGTCAAATTAAGATTTTTTTTATTCAATCAAGATTGAATGACAACACTGATTTTACTATTGTTTACTATTGCGTTACGTAACGTCACTGGCGCTTACCTGGATCGTGAAGTACTACTTTTTGTTGTTCGACTTTGGTGACAAGAGATCCATTTTTACCGGTATAATCAACCGTATCGACCCGCAATATTACGTTTACTGTGTAATCTTTATGACCTTTGTTTGTGATTCTCACCGCTACCCTATATGAATTAAAAAAAATAATTTAATAAATAATTTGTTACAACAGCGATGTAACTTTAATCGGTGTTCTCGTATCACATATAGGTGTAAATTATGAATGTCCTATATATCTTTATTATAAATTGTACTTATTTTATTACTATTAGGTTGTATATAAAATGTTTTTTTTTTTTTATGTAAGTACCAAACTAGGCGTGGGCCTACCTGGCAAACCAAAAGTACAATAATGAATTAATGTCCACTATTGAACGATGTAGGTAAATAAAATTATTAACGAGCCTGGTCAGCTTGGAGATAAATATTACCTACGGATCGGGTCTAGTCGGTTAAATTTCTTATTATTCAATATCGATACCTTACTTACGTTAGTCTGTACATTTTTTTGCCGAATACAAATTTGTAAGTATAAATATTATTAAATTATTTAAATTTTCTTATTTTTTATTTGATTAATATTTACTTTTAAATTCTATAAAGGCACAAACTAAAAACCCATTAACCTATACATTTTTGGTGATCGTACAAAATAATGTAACAGTAAAATAAAATAAAATAATTCAAACAATTCAAACCTGAAGTTTTCTCCCACGATAATATCATCGACTAACTCAAAATCAAATTTGATTTCATTGAAATCCTCATTTAAATAATAACGGCTAAATATGCTGTTATTTTGTTTTAATGCTTTATGCATAGTGATCCTTTCTTCAGTTGACTCTAGAAAAAAACAGTTAAAAGGACACACAATTATCAACATTTTACATGAAAATCATGATTATATTCAAATTCATCAATGTAGTTTTCTAATGAAAATGTACCAACAGTTTAAAATAAACGAACATTATTCAAACATATTTTAATATTTACTAATTTTTAATTTTCTCTATTTGGATATGAAATATTATTGATAAAAATTATTTAAAAATAAAAAACAATCAAGACCAAATGTCAATAACATTTTATTTGTTGGATAAAAAATAGTGAACATTTTATTCAAGGGTCCTGGTATGCCTAGTGATATACCTACAATAGGAGATGAAAATTAAAAATGCATTAAAACTATATTATTTCAAGTATCTTTAGTCATTTGTTTTAGAGTTACACTAAAAACCAAAATCGATTTTTTCGAAAACCAATTCCCGGTTTTCCTTAATTTTTTTTTGTTTGTTACATTAAAAAAATAAAATCAATTTTTTAAAATATTTATTTTCCGTAAAAGTTACCACTTTTTTTTGTCTTTCTTGAGGCTTTCTAAAATTTCTTGGAAATTTCAATTTTTACCTCCCAAAAGTACCAACAAGATTAATTTTTCTATCAGAAGAGATGCTGATCTCGAAAATCGGAGCATTTTGACTATCCAAAATGTTGAGGACATAAAAAAAAATCAATTAAATCAATACATTCTTTCGTTCCGCTCAGAATCTAAAATTAGATATCTATCACATGCATAAAAAAGAAGTTAATGCTTTAAAATCTGAGTGCTGCTTATTAATATTATATGATATACACCTCCCACCCCATTGAAAATTCCTGGGCATGCCACTGAATATATTCGTTCATATTATGTATTTTTGTTGAAATTCACGATCTATGTGAATTTCACTACCTATCTAGACACCCAGTTTATGAAAAGATTGATTTCACTAAGTGATGCGACAAATAAATAAGTCAATCTATAATATTATCATAAAATGTATTGCCTTTTGAAAGTTATCTATATTTATGAAATTATGCTTAGGTATCTGTTTTATCATTCACTATTGGTTTCATAGTCATGTCGGTGACTCTGATCTATTATTTTATACTTAGTTTATAATAATTAATTAATTAAATATTTTAATATTTAATGTTAAATCCTTACAAATTATAATATGACTCATACTCGTAACTTACTTTCAGGATATTTGTAGTTGTCCGTAATGTTTTCCTGTTCCCATTTTCCAACCGCTTTCGTACATATTAGTTTGCCTATTCTGAATAGATAAACACAAATACGAATTAATAAGTAAACAAGTTAAACATGGCCGGATTTGACGGAGGGTTTTAAGGGAACTTGCCCACATGCAGGAGCCTCAAAAAAAGATTTGCCCGGACATCGGAAAGTCTAAATCCCCTTGAAGTTAAATAATATGACGACCAATGACCCCACGGAAGGCTGGGTGCAAATACAGTTAATAATTAAAATCCTCGAGAGAAAAAAAGGCAACAATGGTTTTATTTATTTTATCCTCTCAGTAGAAAACTCTTATTGATTTTTTTAATATATTAGTTATATAGATAATAGATATTATATTACTAAAATGTGTTGTTTGAATTACTAAAAGTACCAAATATAAGTGCTAGATAATTATTAGATATGCCATAAAATTATACACTATAGCTGATCCAGTGCCCGTTGCCCGTTAAATGTACCAGTAATTTATCTCTTAAAAAAAACAAATTTAACCCTTTTTTAATGAGCCCATCTTCTACCCAGAGGTCTAATCTATACAGGAACATTCATTTTGATATATAATATATAAAAAAAGAATGAGCTGAGAGAATGGTCAAACGACCAATGTTGGCCGCGTCCCCTTCAGTAGCGATGGCGTTACTCAAGTAGATGTACTAGTCTGATCGTAACTTCGACTGATTAAAACGAATGAGATTGAGACGGTCCATTATTATTAAAATTAAAAAAAAATAGAAATAAACAAATATTATTCTCAACTCCTATAACCCATAGAAACCATTAATAAACAAAAATGTCTATTGTAAATCTCAAAATTCCTGTTTTAGCACCTACCAGAGGTTGTCAATTCCCTTTTTAAATTGGCCTACACTCCCAAAGAATGTGGCTTTCTATTGGTGAAAGAATTTTCGAAATTGGTTCAGTAGTTTCAGAGATTACTTTCGACAACGGCAACCAACGACTCCTCTTTATATAATAGTATTGAGCAGTGGTCTTCAACCGGTGGGTCGCGACCCATTTTTGGGTCGCGCAAGCTTTAAAATTGGGCCGCGATAAGTCTTCTTTTTAAAATAAAAATAAAATTTTTAAAATTATAAAAGGTAAAAAAATATTTTTTTAATAATTACATTTAGAAATTTAATAAATGAAAATACAGTTTAAAAATAATAGTGTATGTTGTGTATTATGTATCAATAATATTTTATAATTTATTGTTATTCTATATTCTATTATATAATCCGTAGGTATAGCTTCGGTGGTTCGCGAAAAATGTAGGCCTAAAAATGTGGATCGCAAGTCCAAAAAGGTTGAAGACCACTGGTATAGAGTATAGATAGATATAGATTATACATTTATTACCATGGTCGCGTGCACGTTGAGTGCCGGGTGCGCCTGGGCACCCAAACAATTTTGTAATTGGGGCTCTAAAATTAAAGTATAAAAATTAATCCAGGACTGGACATGCCTATATACATTACCCATAATGAGGTTAGGTACCTATTATATTTTATATATTCATTAAAACAAAAATAGTTGTAGTGGTACATCACAGAGCACACTTGGAATAAGTAAGAAATGGTTTTGGTTAGTTATTTCCAGGATGGTTTTTTTAAATATGTTTTTATTACAAATAGGGAAGTGGGCAAGTTTTTTCAAAAATATGCTTGACTCTCCAGTTAAAAATGGGCTTATGCCTATCTGATGGTCGTATTTTTATATGAGAAAGTAAAATTACTAATACATAATAAGAAGAACTTGAAAGGTAACACACTTATTTGAATGGTGTTACAAAATTCCCGGGCTCTATTGACTATTACTATACCTAGCTCCATTATTATTATTCATACATTATGTTTACAAAATTTAAATGAAGACTGAAGAAACAATATTAACTATGTCTGAGTATAATATTTTAAGAGATTTTTAGATTAAAATACATAGCTAAAAAAATCTAGGAAGTATATTCTAGGTTTTTTTTTAAAAAAAAACCCCTCATCGTCACTGATTTCGTCGTATGTACGGCATGAATATGTTGTGCTGTTGTGCTTGTATAGACAAATACTTATGTATATACAATACTTACGCTTCCGTGTCCTTCCTCAACAGCTTCATTGGTTGAGATATGCCATAGTATCTCCAGTACACCTTGTCTGCGTTCACCTCGGAGTACACGAACGCCGTGTCGTACGGTGCTCTTATGTCACCATTTTTGACAGCCGTAACGCTGGCTGGGCCACATTTGAACTGGCCTTCGCTCAGCTCTTGTGGTGTTGCATCGATCACTTGCCAGCTCCGGTCCAAGATGTTCAGATCAGGCCTGGCCATCCAAACCTCGTTCCACACGTGATAGTTCCTGCGATTACGACACGGTTGTTACATTATAGTTTATAGGTACGTATAAAACGTGTGTAATAAATCTACATATTATTTACACAATTAGTACTTACCAAATTGAATCGGTTTGTAATTCTTCTATTATTTTTCCTTCGTCGTCGACTAAGTAATCGATCGTCAAGCTATTTTGAGTATCGTGAGCTGCACAATATGCGGTCACCGGGCGGCAAGGTATTCCGATAGCTCTGCACACTATAAATGTACACAATAATAAATATATGATGGGTAATTCATATAGTAAAACTATGTAACGAAAAACCTCATTAGTTAAAAACCATTAAACCAAATATAAGTGCACTAAGAAACGAGTAAAAGTTCAAAATCTAAGAAAAAAAACATTTTGTCTAACATATTATGAAAATTGAAATGTTTGTTGCTTAAGAGGACTTGCCACAGAAAAAAATCACTCGAAAAATTCCTTTAAAAACATATTTGCGAGTTCCAATAACATGGGTTACTGAGTAGTTTTATCATAAAAAAAACCTATGAACAAAATTGTAGAGGAGATTTTTATCTGGTTTCATAAGAAGCCCGATTTTTGAAATTTTCATTTCTAAGTCCTAAAAATAACTTTTGAAAAATTAAAAAAAAGTGTATTATTAATCATCATATATTTCCTGATGTTTAAAAGATACCAAAAATCGGGCTTCTTACGGAACCAGATTAAAATCTCCTCTACAATTTCGTTCATAGGGGTTTTTACAATTAAGTCACTCAGTAACCCATATTATTGGAACGCTCAAAGTATGTCTTATAATAAAAATAAAACTGAAGAAAATTACGCTCGTCAAGTGCTGCACCCGTAAGCAGTGGCAGCGTTCGATACTAGGTGTTACCACCCCGCGCGCGTTAAGAGCAGTACCGCACCACGGTCAAAACAGGTTTTCTCTCGCAGCCGAGCGCCTGTGCATAGTTTATAAATAACCAGATAAGACAATGATTATTATATATTTTGTGACAAATATTATTTAATTTGGTTCGCTTTTATATTTTGTATTCGTATCCGAAATTTATACAAATAAAAACTATACTTTTGTTCTTCAAGTAATACAGCTTATTGAAGCAGTTTACAACAAACTACCTATTATAAAAATGTTAGATGAGAATTTTTTTAACAATCGTAAGAGATCCGACTTTTTATATCGTATTTCAATCGTCCAATATCGCATGGTAAATTGACAATTTTTTGTTTTATTAATTAATAATTTAACTAATTTATTAAAATATAAAAAATCGGGTTTCTTACGATTGTTAAAAAAGTTCTTTATAACTTTTATTATAGGTAGTTTTGATGTAAACCATTTTAATAAGCCGCATTACTTGAATTATCGAGCTATTTGGGTATGGTGAAAAAAAAAAGAAACACTCAAAAAAATGTAGAATGTCAATGTAGACAATCTGAGCCATAACCAGGTAAGTGGTACATATAAATTGAATATAATGAACCAAATAAAATTACAGATGGAATTGAGTGGGTATATATTTTATGTTCATAAACAATTGTAGAGAGAATAATAACTGCTCTTCGCCTTCTACTTGAACTTTAGCACCTGCAGTACAATATATATGATTGGAGATAGTACAAATTTGTTAAGTTTAAAAAAATAGTCTTAGTATTTACAAAAATTAAATAAAAATACCTATATAATATTTTATGTTCATTAACAGTTTTAGTGAGAATAATAACTACGATTTGTAGACATTGCATAATATATATTTCTACAAATTTAAAATTCATGTAGCAAAATGCATACCCCTAAAATGCACTTTTATTGACGTAGAGTTTGTGAAAGAAATTCGAAAAGGCTTTGAATCTCCATGGATTTTTAAGTATAAAATGTGCAACTTATTGACTACAATTTTATCAGAAACTAAAAAAGAAAGCAGAATTTATAAAATAACTTACACTTTCATATTTTACTGCCAAAAAAACATTAGTGCATGAAACCCGAAACCAATCTGATATCCTAACTTGGTTTATTGAACGAAGAAATCGTCTTACGCTTCTAATTTTGGTAAAATTTGTAAAATGCTTCAGAGCACTTCGTGTAAAAATACAGTGTTTGAAATTTTATATAATACCAATAATACTAAAACTAATGCCATCGACTATGGTATAGAATCGGAAGAAATGGCAATAAAAACATCGGAAAAGATCATTAAAAACCAATACAAAAATGTGGGTTATTTGTAGACGATAATATTCCATACTTAGCAGCAAAGCCTGGGAACGAATTTTTTCATTTTTTGATATGTATTGTCCATTTTTTTTTCACACAAAAAACATATTTAATTTTATATAATATAATTATATATGGTTTGAAGATAATGCTACTGTTGAAATCTGATGTCCATTTTCCATTAGAGATTATGAAAGTTTGGTAACAAGCTGTTCTTGAAAAAAAGGTTATAATTCTATACTTATTTTTGTACTCTGTAGTCAGGGGTATTTAATATAAAAAAGGTGGGCAAGTGGATGTCGCTCTGCTTTATAGTAGGTTACAAGTGGGTCACTGTATTGAATGGTGTTAAATTTGAATTCAATGATATAATATCATTATATAAGAAAAACGATTCTGAGCGAATACGGTCAGTCAGCCAATAATATTACTAAGTATATTTGATGATATTATTGTGAACTAAGTAATTTATATATAACCTATTTACGTCGAACCTTGCTTTAAACTTTTAATCCTTAGCTATAAAATTTGAACATTTTATACATTTTTAACTAAAAATAATTATTAAATTTTAAATTTGATACATTTTGCCAAATTCGAACTTTAAATGCTTATAAAAAAAAATTGTGGCTATGTATTTTAAATGTTTTTCAACTGATATTGTAACAAAACATCAGGAGCCTTGCATTAAATTTTCACGCTTTTTTATCCAGCAAATAAAATTCTATTGATATTTATAGAAAAAAAAACAAAGAAAATTGAAAACTGACAATGTCCGTAAACAGCTCAAAAAGAGTCAAAATATTTTTAAAATTGTACAGTGTATAGGAAATGCTAATATGAACATTAAGTGAAATTTTCATGTATCTACAGTTATTCGTTTTTGAATTACAATAACAAAATAGGAAATCGTTATATGAGAAATCGAGTGAATATTAAATGTTGTAAAAATTTGAATTTCAAACGCTCATAAAAGTTTAATTTGACTTTCTTATCGACATTTTTTTTTTTTTTGATAAAGGTAGATAATCTTTTAAGGAATCTTGTATTACATTTTAAAATCTTAGATTTAAAAAGAAAAAGTTTTATGAATTCTTAACTCAAAATAATTTGCTAATTTTCGTGATTTTCCCATTTTTTGTCAATTTTTGAACTTTAAATGCTTACAAAAAAAATGATGACTATATATTTTTAACTTTTTTCATCTGCCATTGAAATAATATCTAGGAGCCTTCTAATAAATTTGCAAGCTTTTTTAACCAACAAATAAAAAAAAAATGGAAACTGAAAATGTCCGTAAACAGCTCAAAATAAGTCAAAATATTTGGAAAATGTTAATATAAACATTTGGTTAAATTTTATGCACCTACGGTCATTTGTTTAAGTTGCACCAAAAACCAAAATCGATTTTTTCGAAAACAGATTTTGCGTATACAAATTCCCGTTTTTCCTTGATTTTTCTTTTGTTTTTCAAGGCGCTTTTGAAAACTACTGGGAAATTTTTACTTTTGAACCCCCAGAGTACCAACTAAATTCACTTTCCTATCAGAAAAGATACTGTTGAAAAAATTTTAAGCATTTTTACTGTCCTAAAAGGTGATGACAGACAAAAATAAAAAAAAAACATACATCATTGTAAAATCAATACATTCACCGTTTCACTCAGAATCTAAAATACTTTATTCGAATAATAGTTTAGATGAAAATGTATTGTAAATTGTAATATCCACTAAAATAATAATGTTGCTTTTAGATTCCGTATTTAATAAATAATAACCATAGAGTCAAGTTAGATGAAAACAGTAATTACTGCTATTAGATTTAAGGCCAAATGCATATCACAAAACGGAATTTAAGCTGTTTTTTTATATTTACTCCAAAGTGGAACAAACTCGAAGTTATTAATTACTCAGAAGTATTTTAAAAAGAAAAAATGGAATCAAATTTTAAATTGTATAATTGTTTGTAAATAGTAAATTAAAATGTTATTGTATTTTTGGTTTCTATATATGAATTATTAATAAAATTCTATTGGTATTTTTTTTAAGTTTAGCATTTATTATACTTTCAGATTTTACGAAGAATGTTTACTACCTAAAATTGTTGATTCTCAAATCTCAATACAGAAAACGAATGCAAAAAAGTGATATTATTGACCCAACACACATCAAAGAAAATATTATAAAATATAAAGAAAAAAAGAAAATTATAAATTATATTATATTTGTTGAACCTATATTAATTTTTTTCATGTTTAAATAACAGGAAATTATTGCTCGTTACCATTTTATTATATTAATATTGTATAATTATAATTTATTTTTAAATGAAAATATGGTGATAATGATAAATAAGAGGTCACATACTAAATAAGTAATAACTAAATCTATTGATTGATTGTATACATTTAATAAACTGTAATTAATTTAATTGTGTAATACTTATATAGTAGTTTGAATAGTAATTTTAAACAAACAGTTAGGTACTTATATAAATAATTTTTTTCTCAATTTACGTTACAATTTGTTAACATTATATTTTTGAACTATACATTTTTAATTAGTTATTTTTAGGCAGTGATTGTACTCGATGTCTAAAAAATATAGATTTATAAATAATGATTTTAGAGCATTATTATTATCATTACGAGTATATATTATATATTAGGTATACGGTATACCTACCACCAACATATTATTATTTTAAAAATATTTGTAATAATTACTTACTGTCATATTTTAATATAACATTAACAGTTGAACGTAAAAGATAAGACACGTACAATTAATATTAATTTAATTGAGCTGCATTTATTTTATTTATGAGTTATTAGATTTTACTATAAGTATTATATTTAAATAAGTAATAATTCAATAACTACAAATCAAGCTATGTTATAATACAGTTTCTATGATCTATGTATTGGGACATAAATTTAGCTAAACAGTATCTTAGTTTATAATCGGCAGATCATAGGTACTCTAGGGTATTGAAAATATTACGGCGGCATTTGCGTATAATGAATTTTATAACGATTCGAATGGTACTGATTGAGAATAGTAGTGACTTAAACGCAATGCGCTTGCGGATCGTGAAAAAACCTAACAGCCCATCCTCTCGGTCGTTGCACTCGTAAATTGTTCGTGACACGTCCTCTTAATAGTCTATATTAAATAAGAGTACAAACCAGTTAAGAGGTACAGAAACCATTGTAGTGTTTGGTTCGGACCAAAATATTATATTGTATGCAGTGGGATGAGATAATTGGAGTAGGCACTTACTCACCTTAAAATACTTTTAAATAATAATACATTTTAATAACCTGTAGTTAGTACTCCAGCGTAGACCCAGCATTGCCCGTATTTGACAGGTTTTTTCGTTTTAATGAATTGATTCAAAATGTCTACGCTTCCCAGCCAATTAATGGGCGCAGTGCCGCCGGAAAAATCTTCGGTCCAGTTGCCTTGAACAACACCTAACTCATCAGGGGCGTTTACCTGTGTACGAAAAACCTCAAATATGTAAACAACGGTTGTGACTTATCAAAGTATAATATTATGATTCTTATAGTTTTTACTTTACACGCTTCAGAAAATTTTCCAAAACGAATAATTACTACTCACCGCTGCCGATAGGCTTCTTGATACTTTTATTGGGTCACTGCAGTGTATAAGTGCTAACCGTCTAATTTTTAACAATAACAAAAAACTGCTTTCCAACATGTTCTTTTGAAACTGGCCGTATTTCCACATGACTTCTTTCTGCCGGCTGTGACTTCCGCGCCACATGAGTCCTTCCTCGCTCAATACGTACTCGTCACGTAGCTCTTCGTCCTTTATATAAACTTCATCCGCTGCACAAAAAAATGTGTTATTCATTTATACACACATAATAATTTAATTAAATAAGTACCTACACACACACATAAAAAGGTTATCTAAAACGTGAACTTATAGTTATAAGTTATAAGTCACAGTTACAAGTTTTTAACTTATAAAATATTTACACGTCTATTCTAATATTAAAGACGTAGGCATTCAGACTTATGGTCGAGATAATCACTGAAACTACCAGTCAGATTTGAAAAAAAATATTTTTGCATTTTATAGTGCAATTCTTGAGGAAGGCTTTTGAGATTAACGGTGGAAATAAAAAATTTAATTTTTGTTTATAAATGATTGCCATTGGTTACAGTTTATAATAGTAAAAGTAAAAAGATGGATATGTGGGTACTGCTCTGCTGTACAATAGTTATCGAACATTTCGTTGTAATATATGCGTATTATATTTGAATTTAATGATAAATCATTGTAGGTATATGAAAACTGTAAGATTATAGTCACGGGGAGTGCCGGGTGCGGGGTGGTACGGGACAGCTATTAGGTTATACCTATACACATATAAATTGGTTTAAAGTCCGCAATACATTATCAATCTAACTATCAATCTACAATCTAATCAACAATATTAATCTAAAGGACTTACTTGGACACCATGGATTGAACAGTATGTAAATGGGATTTCCTTTAGCTGAGAACAAAGCTGCTTCTTGTCCAGTACGGGTGTCTATGTCAAATATCCATTGTCCCACAATGCAGTTATTCGGTGGAGTAATCTATTAACCATCGATAAAGTTTAAATATTAAAATAAGGTATAGCCTATTATGTTATAATCTAATTAACTTCGTATATTTATTCTCTCTATATCATATATAATATATTATATGTAGAGAGAGAAACTAATAATATGTATTGATTAAATATATTGTCTTGGACATGTATTTACTCTAACGCTGACTACGTTTGGGTCCACGTCATCAGTAGACATCACGTACGCTGACCAATGGCCATTGCCGTTGCTTGGATTATCCTTTAAGGGCACGGCAGCCATAGTGTTATTTCCAAAGTTTGCATCTCCAGTTTCTGAAATATATATAATTTAACTTTACATATTCCAATATGATCATTTTCAACACTATGATTGGAGTAAATAGAAATACGACTACTATGGGAGTCATAGCATTAAGCAGCAAAATAATTTTAAATAATTTTGTAATTAAAAATTCTTAAAATTTTAAATATTCATAAGTAAGGTTTGAAAATTTAATATGAGAATCCATACCTAATATTTTGCTTACTAAAATTATAAAAAAAAAAGTCGAATGTAAAAATACAAATATTTTTTTATGAGCCTTAGAAGTTTAAATTTCGATGAACTAGGATAATTAATAATATCTAAAAAATTAAATTATATTTATTAAATCATTATTATTATTATTAATTTTAATTTTTTTTTTATGTAATTCAAGAGTATTAATCATAGTAACTTGAAACATAATTTTATATTTGGAGAATTAATTAATAATTCAATTTAAGAATGAATAATGGTACAAATAATATAAAATGTGAGTGGAGAAATGCATGTACTGGCTTTAAAAATTAAAACTAGATGTATTTCGTTTTAATTTTTTTGCTTATCTCGTTTTGGAGCAAAAATAAATATCAAATAATTTTGTATAGTAAATTTCTAAATTTGTTATTTAAATTTTGGTTAAATCCCGACAAACTATTTGGTATTCTAAACATATGTAATACGATTAAAAAAAAAATCACATCGCCGGTCGACGACAACCGAATTGTACCTATGTTGTTGTATATATTTGAGAAAAATAATAATTTAGTTTTTCTAGTCTCTTTAGAAATTTGTATTTTCCATTATTCTTATCATTTCTTTAGGGTTATGAGTTGAGACGATGAATGTATAATTTGTATAATGGTGTGTGCCTTTTTAAACATATGTTTTTCAATATCGAAGGTGAATTCTAATCAAAAATTGGATCTATGATCTAAAAGGTAGATTTAACCTAATCTACAGGTAAACTTTAGGAAGTTAAAAGTAAGACAAATATTGACAAAAGCGAAGTATTTACGCAACAAGTTTCCAAAAAAATCGATTTTATTTTTATTATTGTTAACCGTCGATACTAATTTATAATTTTTTAAACATAATATTATGATTTTAATATTTTAGCTGATTTTGAACCATCCGTATACAATAATTTAATACAAGATAGGTAGATACCTTAATAATGTTTAACATTATGTTGACATAAAAATATATAATAATAATATTTAGGTCTAGGATTTATATACATTAGTTTGTTTTTATAGCACCCATTTACAAATTATTTTAGTCAATATTCACATAAAATTCACCTCATTTTTATATAAATTATCTATTTTTATTTAGAATATTATTGCATATTTCAACTTAAAACACAAAAATCACATGTTTTGTGGATGATGATAATATACATACGAACAATATCAGATTCCCTCTGGTTCGTCAGAAACGAAACGCTTCACACAGACTTCAAACTTTCCACAGTTAAACCTACATACAAAATCTCTCATTAAACTTTTTTGACCAACTAAATCATGCAAAAAGTGCGCAATATTTCAAACTAAGTACCGTTAGCTCAGGCGTGGACACTGGACGTGATGCATATAGACGTATATTCTAACATACGCACACACACACACATTTAGGTTAACATTTACGTTACTATTACGTACTGTAAGAAATTAATGCAACAGATTTCGTACCATTCCAAGTACTATATAAGCTCAAAGCTTGATTTCATATATTTTTTATAATGATCCATTTAGGTCAGATAGCATGATTATTTCAAAGAAATCGTTAAAGTTAAAATTCAACTTAAAATGAGATATACAAATTCAAAAAAAACTAACTGGACAATGGGCTATTGGTACCAATAGGTAAACAATATAATTTAAACATACCGGCTACTGTAATAGGCAACGGTGCAAGGCTGTACATTTGTAGATTTGTGAATTGTTTTCTTTTTAGCATTTATAAGACAGTTTTCCAAGCACAACGTTTGAATTATGTGACAACAAATCAATAAATTAAAATTTTATATTGCATTTTTTGGGTCATTTTTTATTTCTATCGTATTTGTCGGTATTTTTTTCAACATCTGCCATCAATTTTTTTCCTAATTATTCTATAAATTATTTTTTATTTTACACAAGCTGTATAGCTGTTTTTTTATAATTTGTACGTCCCTACCTAAATAAATTATTTTTATTTTATTTTTTGTATATTATTATATTAAATGTGAATATAATAAAACATGCTTTTTTCTAGACAAAAGAACGGAACTCGGCGATATTCAAATGCAAGTATATTATATAATATTATAAATAATAAACGAGGACAACAGAAATTCAACAGTTGGTCATACACGAGGCATAACACAATAAACATTAATAGGTAAATTAAATAAGGAAAAAATGTATAAATTAGCAGAGGCGAAATTATAGATGTAGTATTACGAAACGTGTACTTATAACTATATTATGTAGGTACTAACAATTATTCACTGACTACAGGCATCATGTGGGATTACTCAAAAGTAAAAGTTTCTAAAATACAAATATATGTGATTTTTTTTTAGGTAAAAGATTAAAGAATAGACAAATATTAAAAAATATCTGTATTCAACTCTATGTAATGACGGTAATGGACAATGGTTTATATTAAATTCGTTAACTAAATTGTATTAGTTTTACTAATTATAATTACCTAATATGTATTTATTTATAAATTTATTTCAAATACCTATACGGACAATATATTACAGTATGATATTATATAATGCAATTACAAAATAATTTATAACATACTTATTAGGTTCTAAAAAGATTTCGATCATGATTTAACAATTTAAAATTTAAATAGTATATGGAGCTTAAGAACTGCTAATTATAGTCGAAAACCAATTTATTACCGGCGGTCATTAAAAGGTTGACAGGGCTGTTCAGGATATAATTTCTACTGGAATAAATTTCATAAAACGGTTTAGGATCGCGGGTATTTAATGAATTTCTTTTAAATTTCATTAGGGCAAGGAGTTAAGAGCAATCATTAGAACCCAATATTAAGTTACGTAAGAATTTTGGTTGACAAGTTCAAAAAAAGACCATTTTGATACGCCCTGTAGTGGTATGTATACTATATACATTACTGTAAATTATGATAATTAGGCACTGTCAAGAACGAAGGAAATTATGAAGCGATCTGTCTTATAATAAAATATATCTATCAAACATTAATTGTTTATCACTTAAACCATAAAAAATTAATTTGTGTATACTATATTTTATAAAATATTATTACAATTTTTGTATCTTAGGTAGATCTACATTACATAATATGTGGGAAACTGTGAAATATTATTTTCATCCAAATTCAGTCTTATTTATATATTATCTGTTAAAAAATGTGTTTACGTCTTGTTCGTATAATATACCTTATTGACAAATATTACATTTGTTTTATACGAAATAGGTCGAATGATCAATTTTTTCCGAAGAATATTATTTTATCATAGACGCATGAGGTCTGCCGATTAGGTTACCGAGAAAAAAATTAGAAATAATGCAACTGGGGCAAGGATGAAACAAAAGAAGAAAACTATTTCAAATAATCGTTAAATCGTCTCCTTGTATTTTTCAATGACTACTCATGCATACGTGCATTGTGTGCATCGAGTGCCACCTACTATATTATTTTAAATGCATAATGTGCAACACGTACTGCACACATATTAATAATTTTTACTGTATCATGGTGCCTACGCCACGTGAGGTTCCGTTGTCTTTAATATAATATAATATTAATTATGAAATCGTAACAGCGACACAGGCGTGTTGTGTTAGATCAAAAACACCTACTTGACGTGGGTTGGACGCATTTCCTATATGCAGTCGATAATAAATAATAATGCATTATGAATGGTTTTAATAACTACCATCGTGTTTTTAATTAGCCACGTGTATAATATAGATTGTGTGGCTGCTTGCCATTGTTCATAATATAATTATTATTATTTTTTTTTTTTTTATTAAGAAATCTTAATGTAGGTACCCATTTCATGATTGTCATTTTCAATCACTAAACACATCCATACACTTAGATTTTATGTCTGGGTTTAAAAGTGTTCAAAATTGTACTGAAAACAATATTAGAGGCTGCTTTGGAATTGGTTAGCATAATCCTTATTCCGTATATACAATATACATAATGGATGTATGTCATGGCATCATATGGGGATAACATTCATTTTTATTATTTGTCCATTTTCCATTCTTTTTACTTTTTTACTTATAAAATCCATTGTCATATAAATATTAAATACAACATTATTGTGGCATTAGGTATTATATAGTTCTTCAGTATGACCATATTTACTCTTGTATTTTACAGCCTTGGGCACTAACTTAACCAATGCTACTTAACAACTTAACTTAACGAATAATATGCCAAATATATTACATGCCTATATTACATAAAGTATAATAAAGTTAATAGTTATTACCAGCCAATTTGAACATAAACGACACACTGTCATTAGCCATGTCAAACTCTCTGTCGAATTTCAAGTAAAAGCAAACAGGAAATCCTCTGCGTACCACTAAAGTTGGATTCCTATCGTACATACAATAATACTTATCGGTCCTGTGTTTTTGTCCATTTTTTACGAAGCAGTAGTTAATCCATTCTAGGTTTAATGGACCCATGCCTGTCGTGTTTGGTGTTCGGCGAATCACTGCAAAATAAAATAAACATTTCAATAAAACATTTATATGGTAATACTGTAATATTGAAGTTGAAGGATAAAAAATCATAGACAACATTTTTATTGAAAATGTATAAGAATAATATAGATTAGATAAAACAAAATATGCATAGTAATATCTAATTATACATAATTCGGGTTAATTGTGTTGTTATAAATGAACCCATCTTTTCTCTTTACCAAGGTATGTATTAGGTATATTAAAGAATATAAGAATTTTAAATACATAATATTTAATAACAAAATACATTTTTATAGGAATTATAAAAAGGGGGAGGGTACAAATAAAAGTAGTTTTCTTAGTTTTTAAAATATTCCGTATTCTGTGTTCTATATTCTATATTTTAGATGTGCACATTTTACGTTTTTATCTTTCATCGTATAAATAACCCATATTTCAGGTTAAATTCCAGTAAATAATAATATGATTAAAAGTAAAAGTTACAAGTGTAGCCACATTTAAAGATATCAGATACTTAGGTAGGTACTACTTTATTGTTACTATTTTTACATTTTTTGATTTTGTCTACGAGAGAATAGAAAGCGAAAAATCTATAATGAAAATCATTTTCTCTCGTGTCTGGGATTTTTGTGAGCCGTACTACGTTTATAATATAGTAGGTATTCTTGGACACAATTAAAATACAACGCGTCAACGAGTGCATAAACGTACGTCACGTGCAGTGTGCACTGTCCACCGGATATTATGATACAACGAGTAGGACGAAATTGCATAAGACGCGTGTAAACAACAACAACGACTACGACGACGATGATGATGACGATTACGACAACATTACCTATATTTAATCGCCGTCGACGCCGCCGCTGAACACATTAATGACGACGACGATATTATATTATCCGGAGGGCACGTGATTTGTGGGCCGGCGTGGGCGTATCCACACAATTGCTCGCGTGTAAAAAAAAGAACTTTTTTCGCGTACTCATCTCGAGGTCGTCCCGAGAGCTTTATACACAGGACATAGATTATAAGTGTTCGTATAATAGAAAAATCAAAAGTACCATGAACGAGATGCGTCCTCCCATTTTTGTCACCACAAATATTAATATTAATATTAATATTTTAATATAATATTATATACCATTAAAAATACTATTGAGTGAAATCATTTGAATGGTTAGAAATCATTTTATAATTGTACATAATTATAATTACTGTGTACCTATCAAAATATCCAATAGTTAAATAACTTGAGTCGATCTACAATGAAATATTTTATATTATTATATTATTTATATTATTAGTCGGTTATTAGGGTTTAGGCCTTAGGGCACATTAGGTCATATGGATATGCATTATGAACGTAAAAAATTATTAACTTTATCTACTTATATATCTAAAATCTACTGACTTTCATACTTTTAATCAGAGATGTAAAGATTTTTTTCAAACATTAATTATACAGGATGTAAAATTAAAACAATATTAATATGTAGGTACCTACTGGTATTTGATACTTATAACATAAATACTGATATAAACTGGTAAAACAAAGATAAGCTCTCTTATTCTGTTTCTGTATGGTAGAAACATATTGATTTAAAACCATTCGTATAACACTACTAACACTGCACAACCAAATAACTAACGTATAGACATCAGTTGTGATTTTATTATACACACACAAGATAATCACGACTGCGTGTCGTTAAGAAATTGGTTCTACAAAACTATTTGACGGAAGATATTATATTGCAGGTAAGTATTTATGTATTATACACAGTCACACAGCTGACGTGACATATATTTGAACTAATAAAGTAGGATAAAATCTCAACGTCCCATTTTGCAATCGCATAATATTATAATTATTATTATTACAGTAGTGTAATATAATTTGGAGACGCTAAAAATACACTGAATTATCGTTCTCGGAGTATGGACCACGCGCGCCTGTAATACCGCTGTGAGTGGGCGGTTCTTTATACTATTCCACTACTGTTCACGGTAGATTTTTTTTATAATATATAAAATTAGCATACTATATTATTATACAAGTACTTAAAGTCTAAAAATACGTGTTCGAGCGAAGCACGTTGCGCCTAACATTTCGTAACACTCGATAACAAGACATAATAATAATAATTATAGTTATGACATGTCGGCTACACGAATTTTCCGGCATGAGTTGTACCACACATACAAACTTATATCGTACGAACTTTACGATAAATAGCTACATACTTACTTAAATAGTAAAATTAATGTATCACGTCTTGTTTTATTAAATAGTTATTTCACAATAAAACAAGTCTAAAAATAATAGTGTTAATGTTATTTACTAAATATTTATGTTGATTCCGAAAAATATTATATAGTAAAGTTAATGATGTTAATATTTCAATTTCAGTATGACATATTACCTATTATTTACTGTTACTATAAAATACGAGTATTCATTTATAATTTTGTTCACAAAATGAAAATAATATATTTATAATAATATGCTGATTGAAAAAAATAAGTTGTGGTTAATAGACAATAGTATAATAATACAATACAATAATTATTTATGATCACATGAAAAAAAAACCGTGGAATTTTGAATTAACTTGAAACTTCACAACAACTCGATAGGTTAATTCACCTTACATATTAAATACACGAGTAGGTACTTATGTCTTACACCACACTATATAAGCTCACCGTTCACGGTTGTAGAAACTAGAATCCTAGATAGTTCTATATTGCTAAAACCTTTTTTTTTATAGCAAAATTTGGCATTCCGCGTTTAAATTAATAATAATAAAACCACAAAAATGATGAATAACGATGATTGCTGAACTCTGGTTAGCAAATTCTGCTAAGTAATAAATAACTATCGATATTCTCTAGAAAATAATGTTATTTTAATCTACATAACGTCTTTTACCTAAACATATATTATGTATAAATTAGGTAGGTACGTATTATACATACCTATTACCTACATATTATAATATTAATAATTTAATTTAAAATAACGTTCACTAAGTAGTAGATAGGTATGCCAAAAGTCATAAGAATAATGATTAACTATATTATTATAAGACATAAGTAGGTAGGCATTGCACATAACGTTTCACTATTAATTTGATTATATAAAACACTTATTTTTAAATATTACACAGCTGTTGTAAGTAAATTATGGTCATAAAAACGAAACAAAATACCAGTAGGTCACTATAATTTTTATTTGTCACCTACACAAAATTTAACAAAATAATAACGTGCTTTTAACATATTTTAGGTATAGATAAGTACAGTAAAAATACAACGTGTTATTATTGCGAATATTGTTATACAATGCATATAGGTAGGAAAAAATAATAAGTAGGTAGGTACCTACAAAAAGTATAGCAACACCGAGAATAGGTACAACTACTTTAATATATAATTAAAATTACTGTGTGGGAATCGGGAGATAAGATTTTATTGATAACAATGTTCGACTTGTTTTCAAAAAAGACAGCGATAGACTTAAATAACTCCAAAACTCCAAATATTAAATATGAAAATAAAAACCGAGGAAGTTGTTCTGCTACATAGTAGGTTGCAAGTGTACCTCTCACACATAAATATTGGAGTTAAATTCAGTTTCAATCAATTGTTAATAGTAACTAAATGTTAAATTAACTGTGATTTGTATATTAAATAACAACATTGGAGTGTTGTATTGAATTTTGAGTCTTACACTATTAGAACACCTATTACGTATATTCATTGTTAACCATATTATATATTTGAAATGAAGAAAAAAAATGTATTCTAAGTATATGAACGATTAAATTAAGTTTTTGTTTTGTAACTTTAAAATTATATACATTAATAACTTAGCAATTCCATGTTTAGTCATTTTAACATCCAATATTTTGATAACCGACAAGCAATTGTTGTTAATATAATCATAGAAATGTTAATTTTACTCTTAATAAATTGTTAAATAGTATAATAATACTTGTGGTTAAAACAGCAACAGAGTTTTTTTAATTTTAACAATTTTTGATTTTAAGATTTACTACTATGCTTAAAATAACAATTGCTACAAATGTGATTTTGAATTATGAAGTTGTTTGTTATACTAAATAATTTGCGTTTAAAAATTGTCTTAATTCCTGACATGCAGATTATAACAATAACATATTATATACATACATATAGTAGAGTTAAAGTGTAATCCGCTATCTCCATCTTGGTTAAAGTATAAAGGATTTATATAAGTATAGTATAGTATATATTTTAAAGTATAAGGATTATTTTATAAAACGGGTATGGTATAGACGGTATAGTGGTCTTGGAAGTTAATTTGGAAATGTACTTATTCGGTGAAATATGTGGGATGATTATAGGTAAAAGTAGAATCCCATATTTTATTATTAAACCAATGTGTACCTATTGGTTTTGATACACGTTTTTATGCAATTGAAATAGAAAAAAATCCAAGTTCTACTTCAGAACTTACTGGATGTTATATTACTAATTTGCCTGATCCCGCTCCCACCATTACTAGAGTTTCAGCTTTGTAAAGTTGTACCTAAAAATGTCAGTAGCACTACCATTAAAAAAATATATTTTAATTTTATGAATGAAGAAAAAATATTCCATTTAATAAGATTTGTTATTTATATTTGTAGTGTACCTATTGTTTACATTGAATTAAAAAACTGTATATATATTATATTTTTTTAATAAAAAAAATATTAATTACCTACATGAAAACAGATTATATATATTATTTTCAACACCAAAACCTGGTCCTTGCATCATTAATCTGTTAATGAATAAACTACAGTCTATAATAGTATAACTGTTGTTGATTTATTCTAATTTTTTGTAGAATCTTAATTCTTAAGTTTTCAGTGAGATTATTTAGAAGTAATAAAAGTACCTATAGTTATTTTAGCAATAATATAAATTAAGAGACTTGAATTAATAGCTGGTGAAATACGCAATATATATTATAGAA